CTTAGATTTTAGGTTAAGCTAAATTAACTTTTTTTTATGATAAATTAAACCATATTTTAGTGATTCACTAACGTAGATACTTATTGATGTTCCCTCGTACTTCGTAGATTTTTTTCGGTTTCATGCATTGCATATTAAGTTATTCTTATTATAGTAAGATAATATATTACAAATATGCTTTATTAATAATTTTCAAGTTTGTCCAGATCAATGTATGTCAAGGTCTTTATTGATAGGCTAGTTTAAACATTATAGGGGTCTTAATTCTGTAACTATACAAATAAATAAAACACCTATTATAATAATTTGTAAAATCTTCAAAGTTTAAAAAAGTACAAAGCCAAAAGCCAACAGGAGAAACAGGTGCCAAATTGTGTTTATTTTAACTATCAGGTACAGATTTATCCTGCAGTTGGTAGGCAGTTCTTTTAGTTTCAAAGTAAAGGAATTTTTCCAATTTTGGTCCGCGGTTATTTCCCCTATCCGCCACCTGGGGTCGCGTCCGATGGGATTTTGAAGTTCTCCACACGGATTTCCTTTTTTTTTGTTTTTTGGCTTTATCTCAGAAACTACGGCTTCGACACACTTTGATATTATCTTAAGTTTTGTTTAAAATATATTTCCGTACATAAAAGTGAAAACTGCGTTTTGCTAGCTGTTTTGTTTCTGAGTTATAATTTTTTAAATAATATTTCATATTTTTTTATCTCAAAAACTGCGACTTTCACTGATTTTGATGTTATTACAAATTTTGTTGCAAATATTACTCCTAATCTTAAATTGAAAACCGCGTTTCGCTATAGCTACTGTAATTTTGGAGCTACGTTTTTTTTTAAATTTTAACAACCCCCCACACCCACCAAAAACTAATGGCCAGATTCTCGGGTGCCACAGTATTTTTGTGCCAAATTTGGTTAAAATCGGTTTAGCGGTTTTTGAGTTATCGTGTTACAGACGGACAGACACCATGAAAATATTTTGTATTTAGGTCATTTATGACCAAATAACTCATTTTGAGTGAAATTAAAAAAACTTTTTTTTTGCCGATCTTAATAGCCTACCATACCTGTTGGTATGGTTGAATTCAAATTTAAAATATCATTTTAAATTTCGATTTAGAGTACCATGGCCATAAATTAATGTAACAACTTGACTCGAAATACCAAATTTTTCGTTGAAAAATGCTTTTCCAAATATGCAAATGAGTCACCCGCGCTTCATCTAAAAAAAATGAGTTATGATTAAATACCAATAAGATTTGGGCATCTTTTAACCGGACAGGACAAGACACGAAAAATATTCGAAGATCAAATTTATTTTTCCGAGGATCCTTGATTAAAAAATAGTGTTTTTAACACACTCTGATGATGAAATTTAAAATACGATTTTTTAAGCGAGAATGTCAAAAGTTGACATATGATATGTCATTATATTCAAAGTGTCATCTTCTATCGAATAAAGTAAAAAAATACGGAGTGTGCCATTTAAAAATCAAAACATGTAGTCATTTCCGGTGAAACAGGAAGCGACCGAAAATAGTTGAATGCGCCAATCAATCCCGATTTATGTCATAAACTAACGTATCAAATCTATAAAAAGTTATAGTTATATGATTCTGAGAAACACCCGGTATGTATATGGAATAGAAAAATAATATAATGGTGTTAAGTACATAGGTATTTAACTTACCACTACTAGAAGATTCTTCTTCTGGTACCGTTTCCACTTCCGCAATTCTTTTGGACAGCACGCTGCCGGTTTTCTCCATTTTCCGGTTGGTCGCATTGAACTGCAAGCTGGAAATTGTTGGCACCGATCCAGTAGAAGACATATTTTAACGCGAACTTAATAAGAAAATTGGTGGTCGCGCAATTTGTTTATTATAGTTTTAAATAAACGGTTTCGTCCAGTGCGCCTTTGTTACTTTTTTATTTATTCTATGTCCATTGGTTTATTCGTCTCTTCCAGAAACATCTTAGCATTTCACATGAACATATAATCCACAGGTTGTCAAAGTAAATAACTTTTATTTCAAACACATATTTATAGGAGATTAAATTTTTGTTTCTGTTTAATTAACCTAATCTAGAAATATCACACGTTACTTGATTAATTATATTTTTTTCTCGTTAATTGTCTGTAATGTATACTAGCAAAGTGCAACAAAGTTCATTTTGCGAGATTTTTTTTTAAATTAAATATAATCTAATTTTATTATCAGCGTTCTGATAATATAGGTTATATAGTTTTGTTTAATTAAAACTTAACGGGATTGAAATTTATCCTTTCGCCTGTTTTAATCTATTCAAATAGATCAATGAGGCAAAAATTTCGAACTTGATAAACTTGTATCTATCGCTATAAAACACATGATTTGAGGCCGTGTGCCCTTGTTGTCATATGGTCGACGCTGCATGCTTTTTAAGTAACTTAAAATTATCACATGTCACATGTACTTTTTTTGTTAACTAACTTGTCGTTTTTCTGTTGAAATAATCATTTTCACTTTATATCATCGTCATTTCAGTCAATCGACACCTTTCATTCCATTTTTTTTTTCGTGTTTACGTAAGGTTTGCCACGACGCGCGCAACTCGGGCTTTGCGAACCACGACGTACGACTAATCTTTCATTTTTAATTGGTAATTTATTCGCTCGTTATTTAACCATCCCACTACTTTATATCGGGCGTTCTTTTCTGGATTAATTCGATTTTATATACCGTCTTCTATCTTCCGTACAGAAATGATAAAAAAAAACTCCAATTTTGCAATGACTTCTGAATTTGTCTTCTGTTCGTTTATCTATATACAAATCGAACATAAATAAAATGAGTAGATTAATTGGGTATATTCGTATGGTAAAAACGCACACGAAATGTGATTAAATTCATTGTAGTTTATTCATAAAATATTCCTAAGGATAATTAACATTTTAATCAATGACTCAAGAATACAACTTATATAGGACACGTAATTTGTGTTGTTAGACGCCATTTTTTTGGAGGGACGGATGTGTAACCAGCGACAATTTTAGCAATTTTTAATAGTTAGTTTTCTGTAGTGATTTATTACAATGGTGGTTTGTTCAGCTTTCAAACCGCAACGATAGGAAAGATCCAAGAGTTGCGTTTCATAGGTAAATAAACAGTCCACTCCTCCTTTTTAGTGTTTTCTTATTGAATTTGCTAATCATTTTTCTGATATTATATGTACTTGATATTTTCTATACGTCGAAACCAGTTTTGTATCTTTTGTTAATATTTTAATACGTTTTTGAAATGAATTATTCGAGCCAGCGAGACGAAAAGTGGTAACGATCTGCGCGCTGGGAGTAAAAATTCAAAGCCATCTACTTGCATCTACTAACAGCCTACGGCTTATAGCGCTTTCAGATGGAGCAGACCGTCCGCGCGGATGTTTTTTCAAGATAACCGTGGACGAACTCATCCGGACGGAGCATACGCGACCCCTGTGAAATTGTTCATATAAACTCATGGTACTTGCTCGAAGTCGCGGACGGTCCGTCGCGGACGCTGCGCTCCATCTCAAAGCGCTGTTACGCTTCGTCCTACGTGGAAGACAAAAGCGGGCGATTCGGGCGGTGCGAGCGACGCGTATTTATCAAACAAACGTTTTCTTACGAAGCTGTCCTAGGTAGGAGAGGCGCGCGACCACAAAACCCATACGCTTCGTCCTACGTGGGCGGGAAAAGCGAGCGGGCGACGCGTATGACTACAGCGGGCTATGAGCTCGACGCGCACGACATATTTGAATTGCCTTCGATGCCGCTTCAGTCGCGCGACTCTCCTACCTAGTACAGCTTCGTAAGAAAACGTTGTTTGATAAATACGCGTCGCTCGCACCGCCCGAATCGCGCGCTTTTGTCTCCCACGTAGGACGAAGCGTAAGACGAAGCGATATACGGACTGAAGCGGCATCGAAGGCGATTCAAATATGTCGCGTACGTGTCGCCCGCTCGCTTTTGTCGCCACGTAGGAAGAAGCGTTAGAAATACGTAGTGACGCGACGTGTATTTGTGAGCAGTTCACATAATTATCAAAAAATTGATATTTTAATACATTTTACAAATTTCACAAAATTTTGAAAGTGAATCAAATTATTTATTAATTTTTAACTTATTACTTTTTCAACATTTCAAACTACACTTATTCAAATATGTTCTTCAATTCCTTCAATTTAATAGCTGTTGGTAAAAAGGTTCACTTCAAAATATGCGCACATAGTGCACACACAATTTTTTTTGTAATTACATGGTATGGTAATACCTAAATAGGCAGCATACACCATAGGCGTAGTCAAAACATTTATTAAAAATATAAATATCTCTTCAAACAGCTAAGTTAAGAAAAATATGTGGCACGGCACTGTTTGGAGGTATGGGAACAGTTTGGTCTCGAGTTTTATTAGTCCTTTTTAGCTGCTTGAAGAGATATTTATATTTTTTTTATAAATGTTTTGACTACGCCTATGGTGTGTGCGGTGGTATCATAGTAATTAATTACGAAAAAACGTATTAAAATGTTAACCGATTGTTAACAAAAGGTACAAAACTAGTATCGACCTATAGCAAATATCAAGTAATTATAATATCAGAAAAATAATTATCGAATTCAATAAAAAAATGTCAAAAAGGCGAAGTGGACTGTTTATTTACCTATGAAACTGACTATTTCTTATCTCTGCGTCTTTTACACTTGAAAGCTGAACAACTAATTACCATTGTACTAAAGTTTATTCAAAATTCACTACACACAAACTATTAAACATCGCTAAAATTGCCGCTGATGATTCATTTGTTACTTCCAAAAAAATGGCGTCTAACGTCACAAATTCTGCTGCAGCCCGTATATGGGCGGTACGTATCCTTGTATTCTTAAGTCATTGGTTTTAATCTGGATTTTAATCTTATTTTAATAGTGATAGTTAGGCAACCCAACATACTTGCCTAGCCTACACATTTTATTACTTTTAAAAATACGCTAATCGAGATGATAAGCCGTCAAATATTTTCGAAATAATTTTTTTTTAAGATTATTTATCTGATCGACTTTTAGCTAGTCGTAAGCGTAAAATCCTTATAAATATTATCTATTATTACAATTAGTTTTATAACCTTGAAATCTCGAATACCTTCTTGATTGATTTAAGCTATGTTTGTGTACAAATCCGGTTTATTAAGTCAGAGAGTTTCTAACAATACGCTTACGTGACGGTTTTTTTCTAGTTCGTTTTACTATTACAAAAAGTAAGGAAATTAGTTTATTATATTAGTAAATTTATTGAATATAGGTAATTTTTGGAATATTATTCTAGTAAAATCATGACGACTTTTGCGGGAAGGGCTTTGCATTATGTTTTCAAAGTGCCCGACAGAAAAACTACCATGGATTTCTACAGAAAAGTCTTGGGGATGAAAGTCCTCAGACATGAAGAGTTCAAAGAGGGCTGCGAGGCACAGTGCAACGGGTAAAAAACATTTTTTTTTAATTTACTTTCATCATGACTAAGCAAAACTATATATTTTCTAATCGCATTCCTTAATTTTTTAAAGTATTTTCTGATAAGATTTTTGTCGAGCTATTGATAAAAATGATTTGCGTTTTTTTATAATGATACAATCATGCTACAATTTAATTTCTAATTCTCTAGTACGACAAATTCAATTTTTTACCAGCCCATTTACTGATATAGGAATATCATACCGCCGGAAGGCGGTATTTCTTTTAATACACTGACAATACCGCCGGCGGTTGTTTTGTCACTATGTTGGTTTAAAGTTTAAACTTTTGTTGTTTTTTTTTTCTTTGGTTTAAACCTTTTCAGTTGTGATTTTCTTTTTTTCTTAATTTTAATACCAATTTGATTCCGTTAGTTTCAATATTTCCATTCATGATTCTCTATATTTTCATTAATATTTCTGAAATGTTGGTTTAAACCCTTGTTGTTATTTTTTTTTCTTTGGTTTAAACCTTTTCAGTTGTGATTCTCTTTTTTTCTTAATTTTAATACCAATTTGATTGCGTTGGTTTCAATATTTTCTATGCCCCCCCCCCCAATGATGCTCCCCCCCAATGTATAATTGAGTTGGGAAATTAATCATGACAACGCGACGTCTAAATCCCAAATTAAAAATATTAAGGATGGTACGATTTTATTTTAATTTTCGAGTTGTCATAACAATAATTATTTATGCATGTTATAATGTTCAATAATGTTAAATTTAAGTTTTAAATTAATAAAACAATTTTTTTTAAACTAGGGTTTTTATTCCTATCACGATACATTATTACATGTATTATGGCCTCTAAAAAAAAGTAGGAAGTTGGGAAAATTGCTGTTTCTAGTTTCCAACGCCGATGTACCACCCAATATACTGGATGTTTTGTTGTTTTTTATAAATGATTTCAACTAAAAAAAGTTTACCCGTTGTTTTACAGCGCTTACGATGGCCGCTGGAGTAAAACTATGGTGGGGTACGGCCCGGAAGATAACCACTTCGTCGTGGAACTAACTTACAATTACGGGGTCAAGTCGTACGACCGGGGCAACGATTTCCTCGGAATAACGATCCAAAGCGCGGAAGCTTTACAAAGGGCAAAAGCGGAAGCCTGGCCCATTTTGGAAGGGAATGTTTTGGAAGCGCCCGGTGGTTACAAGTTTCACGTTGTCAACCAGCCTCAACCGACTAATAGAGGTATTTTCAACCTTTTTTTGAAATAAAAAAAGATTTACTAAATATTAACATTACAGATCCAGTTTTAAAAGTTACGTTAGCCTCGTCCAGCCTGACGAAATCGCTAAATTACTGGAACGGTATCCTCGGATTAACGATATTTGATAAAACGGACAAGACAGCAGTAGTGGGGTTTAAAGAGAACGAGGCTAAACTTGAATTAAAGGAAATTAGTAAGTATTTTTTGCGATTTTATACAGGGTTATTCACCTCATTCGACACGATTAGATTTTTAGAAATTGTGAGCGATGGGATCGTTGGAGGACTACTAAAGCTACAATTTAAAATTTTGTATTTAAAAATTCATTTAAAATAAATAATACCCTGTATATTACATTTTTAGTTTCTAGCTTTAATTTTTATTAATTTTTTTTTAATTTAAATATAACACCCTATACCGGGTGCATCTCAAAAGCGGCTCACCCCTATAACTTATTTATTTTTTCAGATGAAAAAAGGAGATTTGGTATGTTAGTATAGTAATAAATTAGGATTGATTGACGTATTCAATTGTTTTCAGTCACTTCCTGTTTCACCTGAAATGAGTACTTTTGATTTTTAAATGGCACCCTCCGTATATTTCTACTCTATTCGATAGAAAATGACACTCTGAATCTAATGACATATCATATGTCAACTTTTGACATATTCGCTCAAAAACAAATTGTATTTTAAATTTCAATGTAGAGTGCTATGGCTGTGTTAAAAACACTAATTTTTAATCAAGGACCCTTGGAAAAATAAATTTGATCGTCGAATGTTTTTAGTGTCTTGTTCTGGCCGGTTAAAAGATGCCCAAATCGCATTTTTAATCATATCTCATTTTTTTCAAATGGAACGAGCTCATTAGCATATATGGAAAAAGCATTTTTTACGAATAATTTGATACCACACACTTGGTATTTCGAGTCAAATTATCGTTGTGAACCGCATGTTATAATTTCAAATAAACCATATGAGAAAATGTCAAAAGTTGACATATGATGTGTCATTCTATTGAGAGTGTCATTTTCTATTGAATAAAATAAAAAATACCAAGGGTGCTAGTTAAAAATCTAAAGTTGTAGTCATTTCCGATGACACCGGAAGTGACCGAAAACAATTGAATATGTCAATCAATCCTAATTCATGTCATTTACTAGCATACCAAATCTCATTGTTTTATCTGAAAAAATAAAAAAGTTATAGGGGTGAGCTACTTTTGAGAGGCACCCGGTATATTTTACGTGAATCAGATGCACAATAATCTACCAAATTGTATTGTACTATTTTTACCTATCTCTTCAAATTTTTGTAGAAAATACATTTTCTTATAATTTAGAACCTCATTTATCAATATACCCATGGAATATTTACATCTTCAATTTTGTTTAATGAGTAATAAATGTACAGGTGCTAAACACGATAATATAGCTAGGCTATTTGTTTACAAAAAGAAAAAAAAAAGAAAATGTGGATTTGAATCAGAAATCAATATAAGTTATGTATGTGAACGTCTCAGTTGTTATAAATAAGCATTCGCCAACAAATTAAATAAAATGTATAAGGTGTTACTTTTTACCACACTGTCTATCTAATACACATACAAAATTCACTTTTTTTAGTATTTGGAGCAATTATATTAATCAAAGCAAACAGTCAATGTGCGCGTTCAGGGAACACAGCGGCTGATCGACCATTGAGTATTTTGCTCAGCGGCTGACTGTTTTTGCATGCAAAAAGAGACCGTTTAGGGAAACCGCTTACTCAGCCACTCAGCCGCTGACCGTCCCTGAACGCGCCCAATAATTATTTATTAATGTAGTTCAGATATTGGGATAATATTAATTGGTCCTCTTTTACAAATATTTAAAGAGTTTCTTTTTAATTTTTTTTAATGAAATAAGCGAACTATTGTACATATACATATGTCCCCGGATTTTCTTTACAATAGGATTTTTTTTTGTTATTGACATATTTTTTGCTGCTGTTAAAGTACTGTATGATCGAATAAAAATAGCGTCAAGGAAGGCTATGAAATGAATGATCATACGGTATCACATTTTCCGATAACTATTGCCACCCTTTCCGTAGCCTATGTCCGTAGCATTGAACTAAATAAATTTTGTGCTTCCTTAATGACGTTAGCAGACGTTAGTAAAAATTCTACCAATAGGTAACAATCTATCAAAGCATGAAAATGAAATTGTATTACCATAGAAACGCGTTTGGATCTTTAGGACTTTTAGTTTTTTTAGGAAAATTTAACATTTTTGTTTTTTTCAATTTTCTCTAAAATGGTATAGAAATTTGTAAAAGTATAAACGGGATTAACCATTTTAGATCAGGCGAACATTTTTATAAAGAATGCCATTTTTCTCAAAATGTCTATAATAAAAAAGTATTTCCTCTCTTTTAAAGACAATCCGGTGACATACTTACTGTTGTGTATCGACAATATTAGTATCTGTACTCATTGCAAATTTGTTATATATTTAAAAATAATATTAATTAATGTTTTCTGTTTACCATTTTTTTTATCGCATTTTCTTTCTAGCCGAACCAGTGGATAGGAGACAGGCCTACGGCCGCATAGCATTCTCCATTCCGCACAGCGAACAGGAGAACCTTGCCAAACTTATCGAGGAAAGAAAGCAAACGGTTCTTACGCCCCTCATTACTCTACCCACTCCGGGCAAAGCGGACGTCCGGGTGATCATCCTGGCTGATCCCGACGGTCACGAAATCTGTTTCGTCGATGACGAACCTTTCAGGGAACTGTCCCAGCCCGACTACGAAAGCGAACGCGTTTTAGATATGCAAATCAAGAAAGATAGGTCGTAATTTTAACATTGGCATAGACATATAGACTAGACCAATCACCACACGCAAGAAAACTTCAAATTAAAAAATAAAATTGTTATAATTTATTTAAATTAATTTAATAAATTAACATAATAAAAGTTACTTAAAAATGGATCATTTTCGTCTGTTTTGTCCGCTATCTTTTTCCTCCATATTTCTCAGGGATTCAGTGAATACTAATAAGTAATACTAGCAAAGAACATTTTAATACCCTACTAGTAAAGTGCGTCTGCTGGATCTGTGTTTATGAAAGGAATGCGGACAAAAAACATTTAAATAAACAGCAATATATTTTATACATCGACTTGACGAGTACGACACCGCAAATCGCTCCGCCCACTCATTTTATTGGCTACTTGCACATTTGTCGAATTTTTATTGATGAGAAGCGTCCTCTAATTTTTTACGAAAAACATCGAGAGAATATCGTTTCCCCTCTCACGGATACCCCGTAGCTACAGAACGGACAGACGCACTGTAATAATACCTGTCCTAGAAGACTTCCAAATTTGTAAAATTCCAGAGATGTAGAGATTGGGACAATAGCTACCGGGGAATCAGGGTAGGTCAGAAAGTCATAGTGATTATAAGTTTCTTGACGATTATCTTTAGATCTTAAATGTTAAAACTCGTTAATTATAAAATGAATGAAATTTACGCTACGTTCTTCACCTCCGTCCAATAATTCTTCGTGTTCGGATTATAACTCAATCCGTATTCCGTAGTCATTCCCAAAAAACTATTAAAAACAAAAAAACATCCTTAAATATACTGCTATAGTTCCAACCCTCTACAACCTATGTTACATAGGTAGGTGTTACACTGGCCTTTTGTATCCATAAATCCAACGCCACACCTAAACTGACTCGATAACCCCGTCCTTTCCCGATTAATTACCAAACTCCATACGTTTTTTTGGCGGACGGACTGAAGCGTATCGGAAACAGCGTTGTCAAGTTCTTGGATTTGTAGCCGCTCTGTTAACATTTTGCTGATATTTATTTATTCTTTCACCTCTTAATTAAATCTATTACCTTTTTCAAAAGATACAACTTTTTCGAATAAAACTTACGTAATGATATAAATTGTACAATAAAAAATATGGAACTGATACGGAACGGAAGCTTACGTATAGCGTCATGATACAATAAGGGTTATATAAGATCCTTGGCGGTCGCAAATCTGCTCTCCGCGCGCATGGCGTCACTCGGGTAGTAATTTTCTGTTAAGCTCCGCCAACTACATGCGCAATATCTTCTCTCAGAAGATCACTGGCGGTGGCAAACCGGGCTAGCGATTCTGTAAACATATTTCCTGTCTAATGACTCATCAATCGTATACAAATAGCATAGGCTAGACAGGAAATTTCTTGCTAGAATCCCACTGCGGGTCTCCGCGCGCATGACGTCACCCGCATAGTAATTTTCTGTTAAGCTCCGCCCACTACATGCGTAATATATCTTATCTAACCCTCCTTGTATCATGGTATAGCGTCAATAGAATAAAAAATACGGAACGGATTTTTTATATTATAGAAAAGGAAGGTATAGTGAATAGTGAGAATTAACCTTTATTATTCCCATTTTTGTGACCACTTTTTCAAATAAAGTCCCATAGAGATATTTCTCCATACATACACTCTATGGTATAGAGATAGGCTGCCGACCTTTACTATGAGTAGGGATGAAATAACTCGAGCGAAAATTCGCTGGAGTACTCGATTATTGAAGTAACCGACATCGCTCGATTATGAACAACCGATGCAAGTGACGAGCGATGAACGCAAGCGATCCTAGAATCTGTGCTAGAATGAAATAAATTGAAATCCGATTTTAATGTGATATACTCGATACAAAGCCGAGCGAATTTTCTACATACATTGCAGGTAGCAAATTTATACGACGTATCCGTTGCGTATTTGAGTGACAAAATGTTATGACCTACATCCACAATGCTTTATACTAAACTAAATAAAGCGAATTGCTCGTCGCTTGCTACTTGTCATTCATCACCGAAATAATATGTGCGCTGCGCACGCAACTTACTGCTTGGCGTTTCGAGTACAGCAAGCGACGAGCGAAAAAACGTATTTTTAAATACGAGCGAAATTTCGTTCGCTCAGATTATTGAATTTAAAATCGATTAATCGATTATCAAAAATCGCTAGGTTATTGAAATCGCTTGATACTCGAGTACTCGATTATTGAAATCGCTTGAAACTCGAGTATTGGATTATTGAAGTTAATCGGTTTTTCCCATCACTAACCTTTACTACAAATTAACTACAACAGATGCGAAAGAACACCGAATTACGCGTTCAGGTTTCTGTGACCTTCAGGGTGCAGCCACACTATCCTAAAAACGGCGTAACGACCTTGAATCGATTTCCAGTAATTCTATTGGCTGAAATTTTTGACAGATGAATTTGACAGATAAAATTTCTGACAGATGAATGTTTCAGCCAATAGAATTACTGGAAATCTATTCAAGGTCATTACGCCGTTTTTAGGATAGTGTGGCTGCACCCTCAGAAAGAGTTCATAGACAATCCGCATCAATGTATAGTTTGGGTTATTATTTGTTTGGGTGAAAATATAATGTGCACCAATATGTTATCGAGGCATATAATCTCACAGTAATTTAATAGATTGCTCGTCATATTATATCAGTTCGTAGGAGATTAGGAAAAAAAAGATATTTATAGTATAAAAAATTAATTTATTTAACAAAATTTAATTAAAGATGTGACAAAATAGTTACTTTTCTATTGGTTCTATCGGACTTTTTCTAATATATAAATCTTTATTTTTGTAAACTTTAATGCATAAAATATTTTCAATCTAATAAATAATTTAATGATGTAAATAAAGAGGAAATTCTCACATGGGTGGTCAAATTCTATAGTTTTCATTATATCAAACAGCCTCTGAATGTTTTCTTCAGTGCAAAACTCATCAAAATTTAATATAAATAATTTTTCCATTTCCAGTAAATAAAATGAACAAATTTTTCCACTTTCATGATCAAAGGCTTTTAAATGGGTAAATAATTTCGAGTTATCCAGAGATTCGGATTCTTTTGCAAATTTTAGACAAATATCACATTGATGTATTTGAAGACAGGGACGCGCAGTCCATATGGGCAAGGTCGTGCGGTGCACGACGGCGCCAAAGCCCTAAAGGCGCCTGCCGTCACTGACTTTAAAAAATAATAAAACCATTTTTTGGAACTTATCAACAAATTAACATAAAATTTAAGTAATACTTTTATCTATGATCGCCAGTGGTGAAAATATATTATCCACCAATGTCGAGCGCCGCGCCGCTGGTCATTGGAAATTTTGGCTTAATATAGTATTGGAGAAAGGCGCCTACTCTTATTTCGCACGACGGCGCCGAAAATACTTGGCGCGTCCCTGTTTGAAGACCCTTTTAATTGATGTAGTCAAACATAATTAAAGGCATTTTGAGTTGAAAACATTTCTCAGAGGCTGTTTGATATAATGAAAACTATAGAATTTGACCACCCATGTGAGAAATTTCCTCTTATTTACATCATTAAATGATTAAATGATTTATTAGATTGAAAATATTTGATGTATTAAAGTTTACAAATAAAGATTTATATAGTCGAAAAAAGTCCGATAGAACCAATAGAAAGGTACTATTTTGTCACATTTTTAATTAAATTTTGTTAAATAAATTAATTTTTTATACTATAAATATCTTTTTTTTCCTTATAAACAAACACATTTGTATCCCATTTTAAATAAGATATACAAATTACCAAAACTTAGAAATAACAGTTCAAAAGTTCAACAAAAATCCTACACCCGTTTTTAAAAAGAAACATATAACCACGCACTATTTCATTCCAGCAAGTGAATACGACACAGCATAGGTTTCCGGACTAAACGACTGGTGTATTTACACCACTCAATAGGCGTGTGGGGTTTGCCGAGCGGTTTCCGATGCAGTCGCTTTCTTTCGCATCTGTTATAGGTAATTTGTGCCTTTACTAAAGGAGGTGGTAGCTTGCACTTGTGGAGGCTGGTCACGCGCAAGTGTCTTCTGTAGTTACGTTTGGGGTTGGTCCCTTGGTTAATGTTTTCAGTCATTTTCAGTGTTTTAGGAGGTTTCCCTCCAGCTTCACCACAAGGGTTAGTCGGCCACTTCTACAGAGCCCCGCCTATGTAGAAGGGGACGAGAATACAGTGGGTTGCCCCCAAAAAATCTCCAAATTAAAAGATAAAATGTTTAAATGAAAAATATAATTCAATTAAGTAAAATTATAATTAATTAACATAATAAAAGTTCCTTAAAAATTCAGATCACCTTCAGCCGTTTTGTCCACTTCCTTCTTCCGCATATTTCTCAGGAATTCAGTGAACACATTTATCGGTCCTAGAAGGCTTGTTTTTTTGTAATCCTTTATCTTGACCTTATTTGTGGCAGTTTCTTGAATCTCCATAGCCGTTTCCTGTAGTTGTTTCGTTTTTTCATCGTAAGCGTCGATTTCCTCGATCAATTTTCTAAAAAATATTACTTCAGACTTATAGTTTTTAGTTTGGATCATACAATATTTACAAAAGAGTAGGCACATTATTTGGATCGAAATTATCCACGTTTTTTACATTAAACGGAACGCATATTTTGCCAGTTTTGGGATGAACGCAGAAAGGAGATTTCAACAAGTGATTTATCGCTTTCGAAACGTTTATGTCTAGGCGAGGATAAGCATAGAACAATTTCAATTCTTCAATAAGATTGCAATCGTTTTTTGGAACACTACCCTAAAATACAAAAATAAACAAAAAAAAATAAACATAAAGAAATAAATTAAAAAAAATGTTTACAGGGTTACTCACCTAATTTGACAGGGAGGATTGTAGCCAAATTATTAGATTTTTACAAATTGTATGTTTTGGGTTCGTTGAAGGACTATTAGAGCTACAATTTAGTTTCTACAATTGAAATAAAAATAAATTTGATTAAAGGTTTATTTCAATTATGTAAATCTTACCGTTTTTGAAATATTCACGATTTTGTAAAAACGCAGTAACAATTTTAGCGTTTCATTTCTCTATGCGTATTTAAGTGTTTAAAACGAAATATTGTACTGAAGTTTTCCTATTTTCTAAATTTTGTGTTGCAATAATAAAAAATTACTACCTTATACAGAATGTCTAAAATTTTATTTTAACTAATTACTAGCTTTAAACGGCAATTACTTCTTACTTATATGTAACACCCTGTATATTTAACCTGAATCAGATGCACAATTTAATTGTCTACCAAACTGTATCACATAGGATTTTTACCTATCTCTTCAAGTTTTCGTAGAAAATGCATTTTCTTATAATTTAGACCTCATCAACAAATTTACAAAAGCACAAGCAACAGTACAAAATGTCCAGATACTAAAAACGATAATTTTGCTAGCCCATTTGTTTACAAAAAGGAAACTATTTAAATCTTTGTAAAAGAGTATACTAACTAAATATACCACCATAATTAATTACAAACTTGTGTTAGTTAATAAATTAGTCTAAATAAATGTGGATTTGAATGAGAAATCAATATACCTATAATAAGTTATGAATGCAAACGTCGCTATTGTTATAAGCATTCGTCAAAAACTGACATAAAACGTATATTTGTGTTACTTTTTACTACCTTGTCTAATACACATACAAAATTTAGTTTTTTTAATATTTGAAGCAATTATTTATCAACGCAAATAGTCAATTAATGTAGTGCAAATACTGGGATCATATTAATTGGTCCTCTTTTACAAATATTTAAATAATAAATAAATAAAAAAATATTTATTTCAAAAAGGATCTAAATATGTACAAAATTCATAGTATGTGTGTACCTCTAAGAATAGCTCTCGACTGTATCTCGGAAAGTATTACGCCCCGTTCTCAGAACATCGACTGTCGCCAGCGACACCTCAAAAGAACCAATGAGATTTGTACAAAATTCAAACAGCTGGCGACACGACGTCATTCTGAGAACGGGACTTTAGCCGTAGGGCTTACGGAAAAAAATATTTATAGCCCCTTTAGTGGCTATGAGAAATTGCTTGAAATTATTTTCAAGTTTGTAAAACGGCCGCTAGATGGCGCAACTGCTATGGAAAATAAGAAAATATATTTTTTACAGCATTTTGCCTAGATAATGGGTACTATAAATAATAGCTTCATAATCTTCAGTAAATTTTGGATTTTTTTTTGTTAGAACCATTTTTCCCTATCTGCTAAAATAAAGTGGTGGGGGTAGGTTAGACCTATCTTTATTTAAATGTTAATAACTCCGGACTGGATGATCAGAATCCAACAAACGAGGGCTCATTTAAAAGAGCGTTTTTTACTTTATATTATACCATAAAAATAATAATAATAAGGTTTTGAACGTAGACGCTAGGGGGCGCTTTCTTACAATTTAACAAACATAGCGCGTTCTTTCAAAAAAATTAAATACGATAGTATGTGTTATTTTAGCTGATAGTAAAGAGTAGTAAAAGCTGAAAAAGTCAGCGAAAACCGCATTTTGATATCTTCTTTCAAACCGAAGATATTTATTATTATAATAAATACCAAAAAGTAAGCCCTTAATTACATTATTTTTACAATACAGTATCAGTAGCCCTCTTGATTAGGTCCATTCTAACAAAAAATAAGATAGAAACAGTTAGTTTATTTTAAAATCGACGAAATACCAGAATACCATAATACCAGATGTATTAATATCTAATAATTAAGATATTAATAATAGTGAACAAGAAACGATGATTCAGTCATTGTAGGCTTTGGAAAAAAGTTGCTTTTCGCGTAATAGTATAAACGTCAAATTGTTATTAAATCAACATTTTGATAGTCTTAGCAGCGTTTTTTTATCTTTTAGGTGCTTTTTCAAAATTCCTTTATTATTTGAAGTAGTTGAAGTTGTTGGCATTTTGAAAAAGCAATCAAAAGATAAAAAACGCTGCTAAGACTATCAAAATGTTGACCTAATAACAATTTGACGTTTATAATATTACGCGAAAAGCAACTTTTTTCCAAAGCCTACCATGACTTCACTGAATCATCGTTTCTTGTTCACTATTATTAATGTCTTAATTATTAGATATTAATACATCTGGTATTACGGTATTTGGTATTTCGTCGATTTTAAAATAAACCAACTGTTTCTATCTTATTTTTTGTTAAAATGGACCTAATCAAGAGGGCTACTGATACTGTATTGTAAAAATAATGTAATTAAGGGATTATTTTCTGGTATTTATTATAATTTTGCTAATATCTTCGGTTTGAAAGAAGATATCAAGATGCGGTTTTCGCTGACTTTTTAAGCTTTTACTACTCTTTACTATTAGCTAAAATTACATATACTATTGCATTTAATTTTTTTTGAAAAAACGCGCAATGTTTGTTAACTTGTAAGACAACGCCCCCTAGCGTCTACGTTCAAAAGCATATTATTATTGTTTATATGGTACAATATAGAGTAAGAAACGCTCTTTTAAACGAGCCCTCGCTTGTTGGATTCCGATGATCCAGTCCAGAGTTATTAATATTCAAATAAAAACAGATCTAACCTTCCCCCACCACTTTATTTTGGTAGATAGGGGAAAATGGATCTGACAAAAAATATTCAAAATTTACTGAAGATTATGAAGCTGTTACTTACAGTACACCTTATCTAGTCAAAATTGTGTAAAAACTCCATTTTCTTATTTTTTGTTGCAGTTGCGCCCCCTAGCGGTCGTTCTACAAACTTGAAAATAATTTCCAGCAATTTCCCATAGCCTCTTTAGTTACAAATATTTTTTTCCGCAGCCGCTACGGCTAATACTTTCCGAGATACAGCCGAGAGCTATTCTTAGTGGGACACCCTGTACATATTCATTCAATATTTATATATATTTTTAAATATTTTTTATTTTTTAAGCGAACTATATCGACAATATTAGTATCTGTACTCTTTGTTAAAATGTTGTTGATAAATGAGGTCTAAATTATAAGAAAATGCATTTTCTGCAAAAATTTGAAGATACAGGAAAAAAATGGTATAATACAATTAGACAATTAAATTATGCATCAGATTCATGTAAAATATAAAGGGTGTTCTATTTAAATTAAACAAGTTAAAGCTAGTAATTATTTAAAATAAATTTTCAGACACTCTGTATATGGTAGTATTATTTTTATTATTACAACACAAAATTTAGAAAGTAGAAAAACTTCAGTACAATCTTTGGTTTTAAAAACTTAAATACGCCTAGAGGAATAAAGCATTAAAATTGCTACTGCAGTTTCACAATACCATAAACCATAAATATTTCAAAAACTGAGTTACTTCCCGTAAACCTTAATCAAATTTACCCTTTATTTTAGCATAGGAACTAAAAATGTAGTAATAATCTCAGTCCCAATAATAAGTCCCAAATAATATTATTTATTTGGGCCACTCTGTACCTTTTGCCAAGAATTTTAAATTGTAGCTCTAATAGTCCTACAGCAAAACCAGAATTTACAATTTGTAAAAATCTAATTGTTTAGGTACAATACTCCTTGTTGAATGAGGTGAATAACAATGTATAAAAAAAGTAAATTGCAAAGAACTTAAAAAAAGATTTCTTTACTTTTTGCTGAAGTTCTTTAAAAGTTTTTTCAAATGTCTGCCATCGTTCCTCTGAACTTTTACACTGCCTCATGTTATCCCTAATAGGCGTTCTTATTTCTGCATCGATAACCTCCAAAAAATTGTCTAGCCTTTGTTGTGTTCCCAGAATATCCTGACCTTTTACAATATCCTCTATAAAATACTGATCGATTATTGCTAATGCCCTTCTAAAAAATTCACATTTTTAATTTAAGTTATGCTAGATAAGCTTTTTAACAAATTTACCTTAATGAAGAATGTATGTAAGGCAAGTGTACTTTTTTTGTTGTACCCAAGCCTCCTTTTACCACACTTAAATATTCTACTATACTCGATCTGACGTTATCATCATAATTTCTAGCTGTACTATCTGAGATCCAAGCATGAATACCTAAAAAACTTAATGTAAAATGTGTTTTTTTCAGGTATTTTTTTCTTTTACCTCTTCTACCAGAAAATACCCATAATATGTGGTTAAAGCCAAAATCCTCCTTTAATGCTGTATCAATAATTTTACTGGCTATTACCATCCACTTCCAGCATTTTATACATACATTTGCTCCGGAACAACATGTTCTAATATCATCGTAATCGGTCATATCTATATCGAAAACTATCTCTTTCGAAACAGGAATTAGATTAGTTAGCATAGTTTTGTCTTTTGGTTTGGTATGGTATACGCATCCAATATCTATTTTTACTGGTAGTTTTTTACATAAATCGTTTAGGAAATCATCGTGTGTATCGTACGATTGGAATCGTATGTACACATCCCTAGTAGCGTAAAGGATATTTCTCTTTTAGAGAACGTGGAAGCATTTCCTACAAAAAATATCAGATAAATGTTGATTAATAACATTGTATCCAATGCAAACCATAAATTAACCAGCGATAAAGATGTAAAGACGGGAATAATCTTTTATAGTAAGTTGGTAGGACATCTGCGAGCTTTTCTTCTGATATCTCACCAGACATTATAATAATATTTTTCTAGTTAACAGAACTATAAGCAGCTATAATTAGTTTCTGCGAGATTACTTTTTCAATACCCCCCAAAGTAACCGCCAAAAATATTTTGTGGTTAATGTTTCATTTCTTCTTTAGAAATTTATTTTGGCCATTGACCATATATAATCTGCATATATATATATATATATATATATATATATATATATATATATATATATATATATATATATATATATATATATATATATATATATATATATATATATATATATATATATATATATATATATATATATATATTAACTAAAGAGAACTCAGAGAACTATTTGATATGTATATGATAATCTGTTACATAAAATTGGCAGGCTGGCTCATAGGGCTGGCTCTAAGAACGGTAATCAACTGTTCTTGGTTCTTGGGCTGGCTAGCTATATTATTTGCTCTACACTCCTAGTCGAAACATCGGTTCCCGGGTTCCCGTTAGGTCACCAAGCGTTCACCAAGGTCACCAACGGTCAGTCCTTGACCAACGGTCACCAAGCGACGGAAAACGATACTGGTAGGTGGACGGGTGACCGTCTGGAAACTTTGTCGTGCTGTTGTTCTATGGCAAGAGTGTAAAATACCACTTACTGTCCTCCGTTCACGCAGTTGTGCAGCTCTGAACTGTTCAAAAACGCGATACTCTCATTACATAAAGTTCAGAACTGTTCCGCGCCATATGTGCTATCAAAGTGCTATCCTCCATTCGCGAACTTCGAGTTCCGGGCTTTACGCCCTGGGGCTACTCGAGAACGGTTCTGAAAGGAGCGGTGCGCGATAGCCTGGTGCCTCCATATAGCGCGGAACAGTTTGGAGCTTTATGACTCAATTGAATGGAGTGAGAGTATCGCGTTCTTGAACAGTTCAGAGCTGCTCAACTGCGTGAAAGGAGGACAGCAAATGGAGGCACCCAGGCTATCGCGCATAGGCTCCTTTCAGAACCGTTCTGAGTTATAAATTTTGAGTATATAGATCCGATATCTCGTGAGTAAGAGTCGATTTACGACTCGCCAAGTCGGTAAAACATGACCATGATATTGGCCGAGGACCGCGGTTTGGATTCCGCGTGAACAAAGTAGGCCCCGTCCAGATTAGCCCTGGTAATAGTGGTAATGCCCTAGCAGCAAAAAGTTAACTCAAAATTTACTTTTTAATCTATAGCCATAATCATCTAAGGTCAAAAAACTATGGAGTCAAAAACAAAACTTGGCTCCCCTTGTGTATGTGTTTTGTGACTTGGCTGTTGCCAGCTGTTCCTTCATCTGTGGCATCATGTGGCATCATCCTAAACCTTTCTTAAACAAGGAAAATAAGCTCTGGAAATAAGCAATAATTTAATAAAGCAATGCTAAAAAACTGATATTTTTCACAAAGTTATTCTTGACTATTTATATTTTACAACACCGTAATGGACCCTGATGAAGTGGAGTTTTTAGGAGAAAAATCTATGATCGAAATAGTGCCGACATTTAATAGTGCGCCTATCTATTTTATAGGCGGAGATGTAGGACCTTTTAGGGCCAGCATACCATTAAGAGTGCCTTTGTGGGTGGCCGTTCATTTGAAACAACAGCAGCAGTGTAAAATAATTCCACCCGATTGGATGGATCTAGAAAAATTGGAGAACCTTAAGGAAGAGGAGAAAAGTAATAGGTACTCAACTAAAATAGGTGTATAAATGTTTGTAAACTAATCCCTTTCAAGGTCTTTTATTAAAATGCCTAGCGAGCACTATATTGTAGAGGCAAAACTTATACTCGGATGTGCAGCAGATGATATTCCAAGAACCGACGAAATAAGAACAATTATCAAAGATATATGGGACATTAGGAAGTCAAAACTGCGATCTTCTATGGACCAAATGATTAAAAAATCTGCTATGTACGCTGCAGTAGATAATTTAACCCTAATGGAGATAAACTCAATTAGACCGCTCCTGCCACACGCCTTGGAACAAATATACAGAATAAAATCGGTAAATATTTATGTAGGTTTCAAAATACAGCCTCTAAAACTTCCAAATTTTTAGAACAAGAGAGCAATCTTAAATAGAACTCAAGGTAGCGTCACTACACCATCAAATGCAACTGGTTCCTTTACTAATTAATAAAAAACTTTCTTAATAAAATAGCTGGATTTATGGTATTTTTTTAGGTTATATAAAAATAAAAATTATGAAACAGGATTTGTTTCTTCTTTCGATCCTGTCTGAGACAAATGTTTTACTAGGTCTACCCAATTCCAGCCTCGAGGTTTTTCTCCTTTGCTATCTAATCTATAAAAAAATTTGAATGCACAGAATAGAGTAGATCTCATTAATCCTTAACCAACAAACCGATTCCATTGTCTCCGTTTTTGAGCTTTGGTTAATTGTTCCTTTTTCTCCTTTTTTATACCTTGAGTGGGTTCTTCCTCTGAAATGCACAATTTGTTCATATCTAATTCGACCGTTTGTTCTGGCTGTGTCTGTATTAGTTCCTCAAATTTTTCCTTTAAGAACTCAAAAAGGGAGTATGTCATCGACATACCAATAAACTGTTCTGCTTCACTTTCGACTAGATTGGTAATTTTTTCTTTTAAGGGTGCTATTCTATGGTAATTTTTTTATAGAATAATTTTATGTTTATTAGAATTTAACTTACATATGCTTATTATAAAATAGTTCCATATTTATTTCTGGTAACTCTTCTGGATACCGAGGTCCCCATTTTATCTCCACAAGAAAAGACTTTAAGGTGTCGCTCTCTCCATACTTAAAAATCAATTTGCGTTATTATATAAATAACTATTATTAAAAAATATTTAAATATGTACCTTGTATTGGAAAGTACATGGTGATATTTGTTTGAAGCATTCGTCCCCGTCGTATATAGATGACAGTACTTCCCGTTCTTCCTCTTGTATGCTATCAATCTCCGACATATCTGTATTATATAATTATTTTGTTAAATCATTGTTCCCTGCGAAGAAAATCCTTTTAAAATTTTATTAACTTTTTTTTCCTCGCTCTATTGCTAACCTCTAATTTTACAAAAACAAAGATTTTGTCAATGTCAAATGTCAAATAATGTCAAAACCATAGATAAGTCAAAACTCAATTGAAATTTCAGTATTTTCAATAATATTTTTCAACTTCCTATCATGTTTCCACTTTTCGACTTCCTGTATAAAATTCAAATACATAGAGAGATATAAAAGGAAGATCAATCTTATGATGGAAAAATTTGCGCCACTTTATCCATATCCGTCTTTGAATAGAAGACTAAGGAAGGAGCATATCAAAAATCTTAGGTACACCCGGTACACCGCGATGGGCCTCAAATATGGCCGACTTAAATTCCGGTTTATCAGTGTCGTTCTAATTTTATTTAAAAAATGTAAAACTATGATGTAGGGTAGACGTGGGGTAGACTCAATAATTTGTTGTTTTATTTTACGTTGTGAATAAATGTTGGTAGTTATTAAAATTGTTATAAAAATATATAATTCTAATAAAAATAGATAAGTTATAATAAGTATTTATTAACACAAACATCCGATACGCTACTGAAGCAGGTAAGTCAAATTAACGTATCTAAATTCTTTGACAAGTAATAAATAAAAGCTAAAATGCAAGAAAAATATATAATTTAGTTAATTTAAGTGAATTTCATAAATGATCGGTTTACTACACGTATGTATATTATATAGTCACTTCCTAGCGAAAAGTTGTTCCATTATTTCACTCAATTTTTGCCGAGATCTACCGCACGCTACACAACCAACTATTTTAGAGTCTTTTTCGATAAATCGCGATAGTGTCACTGTTAATTTAAGTTCTGCTACAATTTCCATCTAGATTTACTACCTTTATACAACTATCAGTAGTAGAATAAATAATAAATAACATAAAATAAGCTCCGTAAAGACTGACAAATCCACAAAATTTCAAATCAAATTCAAATGTGTCAAATGAATCGTCAAACAGAACTGTCAAGGATCCCCACCCTAGAGAGCTTTTATGGTGGCTTTTCCGTCCACCATGCATGAATACATGGATAGCATTATGCTCCTTCCTTAGTCTTCTTATTCAAAGATATCCGTTAGTTATTCTATGATCCACAAAACACACAAAACACATACACAAGCCACAAGCCATACAGCCATATGATGGCCATATGCATATATGGCTGTATATATGCTATATATATATATATATATCCATATGCCATAATTACCATATCTTATTATCTCTGATCTTATCTTAAGAATATGGACTCTATGGAGCCTTGTATGGAGCTTTAAGAAATACCCTCTGGAAATACCAGAAGAAATACCTTTTACTGGTTGTCTGGTGGTTAAAAACTTCTAGTTAAAAATATTGAAATTATTAATTTTTCTTGAAAATAGTGATGAAATATAGAGTTTAAAGAAAACGATTTTGTAGCAATACTATCCAGATCAAATATATCAGATTTATAACATTCTCCGAAAGTACGGTGGATTTAAATTAGATTTTATGATTAAGATTTAAACACAATATTATAAAAAGGGTATACCATAAAAAGGAATATTTTAGAATCGATAAACCACGGGGGGATAAACCTATTTGTAGATATATTTTATTCTATGATTTTATTATAGGAGGTTGATATATTCGTGAAAAATTCCATATCAAACTTAATTTTATTTCCCGTTTGACAGTTCAGTTATGTGAGTTATGGTTTACGTCAGAATATGAATCTTTAATTTTTATAATTTTAATTGATTTTAACTTACAGTAAACTAAATTTAGTTTTGAAGACAGTCTATTACAAGTAAGTTTATAGTTCCTAATATATTTTTGAAAATTGCGCCTCAATGTCAGTTGAACAACGACGATTGCGCATTATCGCATCCAAACTTTTTGGGGTTAATGGCGAATTACTCGTTTTTCTATGTAAAAACGAATTTTCATCTTTAAAATTAATCAAACGATTGCGTTTATTTACTAACTGGTTGTCTTATGGCCCCAGCAGAAGAAAACGACAGCGGCATGGAGTCTCAAGAAGGATCTCAATCGGTGGATGCAGATATAGAGAAAGAACCTCCTCAGGACGATAGCACAGCACCGCGAGAAGCTCCTCCGAAAAAACAACCTGCTATCGAAGGGTCCGAAGACGACGAAGAGGTATCTACATCTACATAACCTTTTTGAAACCGCAATTTTCTAATATGAAAAGTTATTATGTTGCAGCCCGAGACCCTCTCAGAAAGATTATGGGGTTTAACAGAAATGTTTCCCGAACCAGTGAGAAATCTTACTCATGTAACGGTAGTAAACACTAAATTAGGCATCTGTAAAGCGTACGGTTTTTCAAGGAGCGCAGCTTGGATCATTTTTAGTACTTCGATTATATTGTTTGCGCCTGTTATTTTTGAAGTTGAGCGAGCTAATATGGAAGAGATGCAGAGATCTCAACAGAAACAAGTGAGTTAAACTAATGCACCTTTTGAGTTGTATTTTTATTGCTTGCTTACTTTTTTTTAGATGTTGTTAGGCCCCAGTAGTGCAATTTCAGGAGGAGTGCCTCCGTTACTGCCTCCTCCTGTTCAGCAGAGATAAAAAGCCTGAAGTCAGAGTAAAGCAGTTTAGTTTTAGAATTGAGTGTTTTTTTTTATCAAAACCCCAGTGTAAACTGTTGTTATTATAAAATTTACACTATAAACTATTTGTGTCATGGGTTTACATTAATTTAATTGTTACCATTGTAATTAATAAAATTTTCTTTTAAAGTAATTATTTATCTGGTAACTATTTTTTTATATTAGTAATTAGCAGCTCTTTTATTAGATTTTTATTATTCTGTTGCCATTTTTCTACTTTTTCTTTTCATTTTACGCAAAAATGTAAAACTAGGATAAAAACATCCCTTCCATATCTCTGATAAAAACTTTTTATTCTTAATCTAAGATAAAAACCCACTCCCATTCCAGAGTCCATTCTTTAAATTTAAAAATAGGTGGAGTAGATCCTACAAGATTTTTCTATTTTTATAATTACCACAGATATAAATTGGGGAGAAATATATCCCAAGGACTGGATATATCCTTGGTCCTTGATAGGAAAAACCGGTTCTCGTTAGACCACCGAAGTTAAGCGACGTAGGGCGATATAGTGGATAGACGGGTGACCGTCTGAAAACTCCTTGGAAACCCTATTGTGCTGTTTTAGTGTGTTCTGTGGTGCTGTTGTTCCATGGCAAGAGTGTAAAATCTATTGAAAAACATTGTTCATTGATGGTAGAAATCAAAAGTTTATTCTGTGAGTTTATTGTTTTACAAGCTAAATATTAGGCCATAAAACACATACACCAGGCTTTCTCTATAGGCGCATTCAGTAAACACCACAGAATAACTAAACACACCGGTATTAACTATGGTATTAACCAGTAAAAACCTATCGATAAATTTTCATTGAACGATGAAGTTACCGGTACGTAATAAACCGGAAATAAAATACGGTAGGCTCGGTAGTACTCGGTAGGCTCACAAGTGATCGGTGACGACAACCGGTGAGTTACCATTGGCATTGGGCGCATTCAGTAAACACACCGGTTAGTCCACCGGTGCAGAAAATTAAATTGAATGCCAATGGTAACTCACCGGTTGATTCACCGATCACTTGAGAGCCTACCGTATTTTGTTTCCGGTTTATTTACGTACCGGTAACTTGATCGTTCAATAAAAAGTTATCGGTAGGTCTTTACCGGTTAATACCGGTGTGTTTACTGAATGCGCCCTATGGATACAACTGATTGCTGGGATATTCTATTAATTCTATTGAAACCATTAATTTATTTCACTAATTGCTAAGTTTGAATAATGAACACAGACGCTCAACCGTAGTAACACCGGTGTTACTTTATAACCGTAGGTAATTAATTCTACCAACCGGCCGGATAGCCCTGGCAGTCCATACCGAGGCCCTCCATACCTGGCAGCTATGGCTATTAAGTCAATATACTACTACCTTAGATTAACAATAACTTACTACTACCAACTACTACTATAATTCTAAGATAATTCTTTATTTACCAGCATTGGCCACATATGCCACATATTCATTGGGATATCTAGCTAGAGTATATTTACACAAACCATTAAGCCAGATCATCCAGACCAGAAAGCGATAAATCATATATAAATATATGATGTTTGTTACCCATCTTAAATATTCTACGAGTCGTAGAATTTCAAATTTCAAACTATTTCAAACACACCTTATCAAGATTTGATTTGGATTATTTTTTCATTGTTTATTGTAATAATAGGATGTTTGTAAATTATTAAATCGTTTGATCAAGATCAAACAATCTGCGCGAAGCGTAGTTCTTAATTTTTGATTAATTTTTTTTAGAAATTACTACACTCATTTCACTCCAGTTTTGTATGTATCCTATGTATCCTTTTTTACAAAGTGTAGCTAAAAAAGGATAGACCTATTCTGGAGTTAATTCCAGAATATACTAGTTTTATTCTGAATTCTGACGTGTACTATTTTTGTGCGAGGAAGATAAATAAAAAAGAGGATATATTTCATATTTCTCCTAGAAAGTTAACGTATCGTGTTCGGATTTACAAAAAGGCCACTTTATATACTCTTTAATAGTTTAATTGGTTATCTTCTATTGTGTGTTAAATTGTTACGTGAATTTATTTTGTGTTTAAAGAAATTACTGACATTTGTTTCAAAGTTGAATTGGGAAATTATGGCGTCAGTTGCAATAAATTCTTTTATGAACTCGTTTAATACAAGACTGTAAGTACTCCAAAAATTTTGTAAATATTTAAACTTCTTTAATATAGAGATAAGTGTTTATAGATTAATTTTTTATTCTTTTCCTATGTTTCATGAATATTGATATTTATGTATAAGGTGATTATCAAATGTGATTATAAACGAAACGTATTTGTGACGTATATAACGTAATTATTAACACTACAAAACATGATAATAAAACAATATTGTTTTTATTTCAGGGAAGCTCCAGTCAAACAACATCTTAAAAATGTTTATGCATGTTTGGCAATGTCAACATTGGCTGCAGGACTTGGGGCTTCATTACATCTCTACACAAACATATTACAAGCTGGATTTCTATCAGCTATTGGCGCACTAGTATTTTTCTTTTTACTTATATCAACTCCTGATGATAATGGCAAAGGAATGACTAAAAGAGTTGGATACCTGCTAGGCTTTTCTACTTTAACAGGTGTTGGAACAGGACCGCTTTTGGAACATGTAATTTTAATTGATCCAAGTATTATTGTAACAGCTTTTATTGGTACCTTTGTGGTGTTTGTTTCCTTTACATTATGCTCCTTACTTTCCGAAAGAGGAAAATGGTTGTACTTAGGGGGCATTCTATTTACACTTCTGAATAGTTTGATGCTTATGAGTCTTGCAAACTTGTTATTCGGCTCGACTCTGTTGTGGAACGCACAAATCTATATTGGACTTGTCGCTATGTGTGGTTTTGTACTTTATGATACCCAAGCAATTATAGAAAAAAGAAGAATGGGAAGTAAGGACTTTGTTGCCCACTCTTTAGATTTGTTTGTTGATTTTATTGGCATTTTCAAGAGACTGCTCATCATACTGACCCAGAAGGTAATTAGAGATAGGTTAATATCAGTTGATTGTACATAAAATTACTTACATGCCTATATGCTTTGCTTATAGAAATTAAATTGTGTATTGATATTAGCAAGTCGAAACCACTAATATTTTAATTTATAAATTATTCTAGAATCAATACACAGTTCAAATATTCTCAATTTGTTTTTTTTTTATTTTCATATTTTTTATTAATCTAGTCTAACCAACTATAGTAGTTTTTTTTGGATTTGGAACAATTAAATTTAATTTATTTGAAAAAAAAAATATTTTTTTAATCTAATATATATTGTATATTATTACAAATCACATTTTTTTTTATTTAGAAAGTATAACTGCTTGCAACATACATTTTCCAATTTAGTTTTTTTTTTCTCCTAAACAAATCTATTTATAACATCCTTTAAATTTCTTAAGAAAAAAATCCTAACAAGCACCATATACATACATAGTATTTGAAAATATATTTTTTATTTATTTCAGGAACAGGAATCGAGAAAGAAGAGAAGGAATTAATTAGAAATATCGCGAACATCGAGAGATTTACTGGAAAATCTAAATTATCAGAAAAAAACTCGTTTTGTTACTAAATTCTTGTAAAATATCATTTTGGAATATATTTAATTTAAATTTTACTATTTTTGAATGTTTTTATTTATAATCTTAGTCTAGAGACTTTATGAACGAATCTATTATATCATATATAAACACATATATTTTTTGGTTGTGAGAAGGTTTAGAAAATAATTCGGAGGTATGCTTCGAATATGTATTGGAATTTTGTGTATATTAATATCTTTAAATTATAGGTATAGGTATTTTTGTTTAATTTGTAGTAGTAAAAGGTTTAATTATTTAAACTAATATATTATAATTTTATAAAAAGTAGTTTTATTTCTAACATCCATTGTTAAATAAAAGCCTGTTTTTTAATATGTCTGCATTTTATTAGCAGGTTTTTTGTAGCTAACTAGGTATTTCACTAATTGCATCTTTATCTTATCACATAGACTAGAATTGTTGAGTATAGAATAACTAAGTACAAAAAAAAGTTTAAACGTACATGCGCATTACCTACCAAATAAATATGGTTATTTGTTATTTTTCCCTCTACCTTGTTTACTATGGAACGTTCTTATCTAATCTTGTTAAGGCATTTTATTATTGATAATGTTTAATAAAACTATGCAGTGTTCAATTGAAAATATATAATTTAATTGAATATTTTATTACACACACAATAATAATTGTAAACGTATTATTAGTAATAAGTAATTAGGTATAATATAGTAGGTAAAATATATTTTTTCGCTGTCGTTTATCAATAAGAAAATAGGTTCAATGTTCAAAGGATCAAAATAGTAATTGTAGGCCACTAGGCTGGCTAAATGCTGAGAAGCAAGAGGCCATATACGAGAAAAAAAATAGTAAATGATTTGTATAAAATGATAATAAATATTGTTTTTTCAATCTTTTTGATTTACATATACTTAGGTTTAGCCTTTCCTTAAAAAGTTACTTGCTTATATAGAGTAAACCCAAACTACAAATATACAGGGTGATTCCCGGCCATAGTACATTAGACGTTTATGGAAAACCGGTGATAGCATTTTTTCAAAAACTTGGATTTTTGCGTTGCAGTGTTGCCGCTTCATATTATAAATGGTAGCATCTTTGTTATTTTAAATAGTATAACACCTGGTATATTGTTACATTTTTTGAAACTACTTTCATATCTCATAATTTTTCTATTATACTAACTAAGTCATTTTAAATATAATAATTATTAACTGATACTGTACTTATTCTTTGTATCATGTATATTACCCGTATTACTTACTACATTTCTAAAATCGTCAGGGTAAAGAAATTCTTAAAATGAATAAACTATAATAATAGAATTATTAGTTAAATAGCTCTACTTAAAAAAACTGGCAGGTTTAGATACACCGTATGATCGAAAAAAAATCGGCGTCCAGTTGGCTGGGAAATGACGATCGATGACATTTCCTATATAATTTTACATATAAAATGACAGCGATCTTCATTTCATAGCCATCGCTGACGCCATTTTTTTTTCGATCATACGGTATAAACATGATGTCCTTTAATTGTTTAAAAAATATACATAGGGTCGAATTTAATATAATATAATAACAAGGACTTGTGCAATTTTATAACAAATATGGAAATAAATATTTTTTTGCTCTTCCTGTTCAATTCAATCGGTTGATTTAGAGAGATTGAAATATATCATCGGGTTTTAAGTTAACTTCCGTTATCTTAAAACCTAAATTTTCAATAATTGTTCAATTCATGATCTTACCAATTATTGTTATTGAAGTTATGTTTATGTCAATTTCACACATATTTTATTTTTTATCTCGAAAACCATAAGAGATAAGTAAGGCTCTGGTATAAGCTGGATAAGCTATGATAACGTAGTTTCAAAAAATGTAATAATATACTGGGTGTTTTGTAAAATAACAGAGATACTACCACTTTTAAAATGATCCGGCAACCCTGTATCGCATATAATATTTTAAATAAATGGTGTGGGGTCTATGTAAAAATCCAAATTTTCGGAAGAATCCTATCACCGGTTCTTCATAAACGTCTAATGTACCATCGCCGTGAATTAGTGAATCACCCTATATGTATTGTATATATATATATATATATATATATATATATATATATATGTATAGTATATATCTCAATATAACTTGGCTCAAAAATGCTATCCAGATAATTTGTGCTATATACCTATCCTGAAAAACCATCAGACCAATAATAGTACGAGAGCTAGCAACGTCGCAAAAACAAGTATTTTAAGACGTCTGGCTCTTTGATATCTTTTACTATGCTCTCTAGAACAGCATGCGGCCCGTCTGGCTGCCGGTAAACGTTGCGTTCCCTACTGCGCATTGAAAGAAGATTCTATAGATATTTTTATTAGTCCTTTAAATTCTAGTATTGAATATACCGTATGATCGAAAAAAAACGGCGTCCAGCTGGCTTGGAAATGACGATCGATGACATTTTCCATATAAAATGACAGCGATCTTCATTTTATAGCCATCGTTGACGCCGCTTTTATTCGATCATACGGTATATCGAACATGTCTCCATAGCGCAGTGCGTAGAGTTTCCGACCACAAACCGATGATTCAGAGTTCGAATCCGGGTCAGGGCAGACTTTTTAACTTTATTTTCGTTTATATTCTGATAGTAAAGTATTAAATATTTGTTTTTTTTTAATTACCAGAATTATTTAATACTTTACTATCAGAATATAAATGAAAAAATAAAATTAAAAAGTCTTTGACCTGACCCGGATTCGAACTCTGAATCATCGGTTCGTGGTCGGAAACTCTACGCACTGCGCTATGGAGACATGTTCGATTTATCTCTATGATTTATATTCAATACTAGAATTTATAGGACTAAATTAATAAAAAATATAGGATCTTCTTCCGATGCGCAGTAGTGAACGCAACGGGTATCGGCAGCCAGACGTCTTAAAATACTTTCTCGAAAACGTTTGAAAAGAAGTTTTGAAAAATCAAGTATTTTTGTTGGCATCTACAAAATATCGTCCACTTTTTTCAAAAATTGTTTACAGCAAGATTTCAAATGTGGTGTGTGGATATTAATCGCCTTGTAAGGGATTGTAAAACGCTGATACCCAAATCAAAAACAGAATATTCAAACAGCTATTCCATTTTTAATACATTATATCCATCAAGTAATTTTGAAATAAAACAATCTAGCTTAAAATAGTCATTAAAACAACATTTTTGTCTTTGTATATTTCTTCTACTGAGTGCAGTTTAAAGAAAATTTACATAGGATCTTTAAATTCGTAAAAAACCCTGTAGTATAATATCATAAACAAGTTTAAATATTTTAACTCAAATATGCATGCAGTGTACTAATAATTTGTTTGGTTTGGTAAAAACATTTAAATTATTAGCTAAAAAGGTATTTATACAAATTACACATAGGTATTTCCAGGTATCTAAAAAATTGATTTTATTTGGTAGCTAAGTAATATTAGAGTACGTGTATTACGAAAGGTTAAGGACACGTCAGCTGAGCTACATCGTGCTTTAAAAGGGGGAATTATGGAATAATTTATGCATTTCGGATCAAAAAGAAAACTAACATGAAATAGCTTTACCCTTATTACAAAGTGGCATTTAATATGTGTAAATATTAGTGACGGACTAGTAGGCTAACGCTTGGTCAACAATTTTAATATTATATTTAAATCTATTAACAATAAAAACATAATACACTATGGAAAATCAACTTTTAAAAGAAAACTTATTCATTTTTTCATTTTAGCCAAAAAATTGAACGAACTTTTACCAAAATAGCTCTAATCATTTATAGCTAGTGACTAGATTTTGCTAGATATAATTATATGAAAGGGTTAAAAAAAAACACATTTTAATTTCATAATACTTATATATTTTTTGTCTTATGACACCCTAAAGGACAAAACATGTAATTTAAAGTGAGGCGTATTTTTTTTTACAAAAATTGCTTTCTACATAAATTGACAGATAACACATACAAAAAAATTTAAAATTAAATGCTTCTTTGATCATTAGCAATTTAAACCTAATACGGTCTCGGTCGGCCACCGCCACCGCCTCCTCCACCACTGTTTCTACTTCCACGATCTCTAAAAAGAAGAAAGAATCGAATTAGAATTATGTATAATTTAACAAAATAAATTACATTTTTGTAAACACCAGTTAATCTAGATAAATTGGTTTTCTTAGTAAAATACCGCGAACAAGTTGCTTTCCTTGGTATCACGCTGTTTCTCCAGACAGGATACACTCAGAACCATATTTTAAGGATCAGGTGAGTTTTAACAGAGACAATAATTTCTCCTCAATATGGAAATCAGACAAAAATATTGTTTTTACTTTTTGCCGAGAGCGAGAGAGGAGTTATTGTACCATATTTTTATTTAACATGTTAACAAAATACAAAGCCACTGATACCAGAATACAAGCCATACCAAAGTCATTACTGATATACTTTTGCTGTGCTTTTGTCCTAACAAATATAAATGCAACGGACATAAAAAATGACTCTAGATGCAAAAGAAATGGAAGAATATTTGTAAGGATTGGTTAATGACACTGAAATGACACAAAACATCAAACAGAAGTAACGCTTTTGATGACTTTGCACGTTTCTAGTACTTAAGATAAGAGATATTGTTATGCTATTGTACAAAAACTAGAAAAATCAGAGATTAACGAGATAATAATTTAAATACATGTTTTTTTTGTAAATTGTTTATGTAGCTTGAAAGCCTTAAAAAATTGAAGTATTGTGTTAATGATTGCTATTTTTAATATTTTTGTTATAAAATTATTATTTATATAAAAATTCCATATGGCAGACATATAACTATTGATGTGTATTCCTATTTTTTTTGTAAATTACTTATATTCACGGTTGATATAACCCGTAAAGGAAGGTTGACACAGTCCAAGTGTACTTGGACCAAGAACACTTGGACGCTGCCATATAACTGTACTTATAAAAATGGCGAGTGTCTCACTTGTACACTGCTTGTATCGTATTAACTGTTTTATATCATATTAAGTCAAGTTGGAATGCTGCATAACATCCAAGTAAGCTGATCGCGAACTTACTTGGATGCTACAAAGCCTTCTAACTAGAGTTGGATAAAACAGCTGATGTAATAGAATCAGCTTACAAGTAACGCGCATATCATCCACGTATGTATACTTATGGTTGCCAACTTTCAAAATAAAAAATAGAGGACGAGCGGATAAAAAAGTGGCACAGGCGAAACATTTTTTGAAACCTGTTTCAAATGTCTAGTATTTACCAAAAAGTTGTGTCAACGGTATACAAATTGATAATACAATTGATGGTCTTTCTTACTTTCTTAAAAATTTACTCAAGAAATTACTCAAAACTTGTTAAAATAAAACAAATCATTTTGAACAAAACATTTTTTAAACATAAGCTAACAGTAAATAAACATAAAATAGTTAAACATGTTTATCGCTTCCACAAATATTTCTTCATTTTCTTTTCTGTACAAACAAGTAGGAGTAGCGAAAGACAGATTAATAATTTTTTAAAGAACAACATTAAAGATACAGGTACTGTTCCACCCTTGGTTTAGATTACTCTGTACAATCAATGAAAAGATGCTTACCTTCCACCACCGCCGCCGCCGCCTCGGCCACCTCCAAATCCGCCGCCTCCACCTCCTCGGCCACCTCCGCGACCGCCTCCCGGTCCTCTATCACCTCCGCGGAAACCGCCGCCGCCACCTCTACCGCCACGACTTCCGCGGTCTCTATCGCGACCACCGCCCCCACGTCTGTCGTCACTACCGCCACCTGAAAGGTAATATTCAAATTGTTTATCTAACATTATAATTACACTACACTATAAACTATAATTATTATATAATATATATATCTTAAGTACCGTATGATTGTATGAAAAAAAAGTTCAGTTGGTTAATTTGACTCAGTTCATAAAAGAAGTATTTGCTAGAGAAGATACAATTTTTTAAGTGCATTTTTTGTGCACATTTTCGGTTGAAAAAGTGCGACAAAAAAATGAGTATTCTTATCATTTCTATCATACGGCGTGGAATGCTACTGCTCAATTTGTCCACAAGTTTTTAAGGAAAAAAAAAATAACTATTATTTCTACCTGTATAATCAGTCAATCAGCATTAAACCAATGTCTAGCGAGAAAAGGGACTATATAAGGACGGTATTCAAAATATTTTTCATCTGGATTAAAGAATAAAACTTTCCATATAAAAACATGTTTCTCCAGACAGGATACACTCACAACCATATTTTATGGTTTAGGTGTGTTTTAACAGAGATAATACTTTTGCCGAGAGCGAGAGAGGAATTTTAATAAATTAACCAGTCAGTATATGCTGTATATATAATTAACTAATAAAATAAACTAAATAGTGCCACTGAGAGTTAATGGCAAAAATAATTAAAGAGGAAGATAACAAAAATTCTGGGATATTATTTCTCAAGATTTTCCACAAGACGACATTCAAAAAATGACAGAATTGTCGCTCTCAAGTTGGACATATTATATTCATCTTACCTGCGCCTTCGGGTTTGTCATTTCCACATCTATTACATTGATTTCTCCAAGCAAAGTTTGTGTTAGAACATTCCGGATTTGGACATCTCCAATCGCCATCCCGAGCTTCACGATCGCGGCCTCCGCCACCGCCTCCACCACCACCTCGGCTTGAGAATGAATCATCTAAAAGAAAGATAATAGATATAAAATCTCAACAGAAAAATAAGTTGAAAGATTCTATACCTTCAAAAACAAACTATAGTCTATAAAATGAATAACTTTGAATTTCGACCGTTATTTTTTACCAAGATGGCAAATATAAAATCTCTCTGTCCAAAAAATTACTGATATTCTTTAAAATGAGTGCCTGAACGAATCAGATAGGTAACTCTTTTTACTTTCGTGAAATAGAAAAGGAAAATAATAAAACAAGTGACAGTTCTTCCTCTTCTTGCAAAAATCAACGCGAAATGTCATAACTGACAAAAGTAAAGTGTCATCAGCCTTTGACATTTCTAAATATCAGACCAACGCCGTCTCTAATAGAATAGCCTCGGAGCGAGATTTATGACGTTACGCTAGTTAGATACCGCGGATTAATAAATATGTTGTAGAATACATGGAAAACATAATTATTCCTCGTATTTTTGGTTTGTATTTTAAGAATGATATAGTTTACATGAAATATACATAATATACAGTTAATAAATGTTTTACAATATACAAATAATGAATAGGTACATAAGATAATGGGTAAAATGTAAAATATATTTTAAATTTTGGGGTTTGAAAATCGATCTAATTTAACAAAAAACACTCAATATCTACTAATAGTGATATATTATTATTTCCATTCACAAAATTTATATGTATATTTTGCAAGCATCAATGTTCGAAAAATTATATTTGCAAATAATACAATATCATAGAAAAAAAGGCGTCAGCGATGGCTATGCAATAAAGATCGCTGTCATTTTATTTGTAAAATTATTCTAAAATTTTTGATTTCCTTGGAATTTAGGTTCGGGGAAAACGCTGATTAAGTTTTTATTTGGGTTTTCATTATTTTTGTTGGTTTAAAAAAACGTTATAGCTAACGTTTATAGCCTTCATCAGTGTTGTGTCATATGAAAAAAATAGTGTCGAATATAATCCAAAAATTATTACATATACGAGGAACAATTATGTTTTCCATGTATTCTACAACAATTAATCCGTAGTATCTAAATAGCGTGACGTAATAAATCTCGCTCGGAGGCTGTTCTATTAGAGACGGCATTGCATCAGCATGGCCGCAAGTTGCTAACCTAATAAAATTTACACTAGAAAAGCCCGCGGGAACTGTCAAATTCAAAGTTATTCGTTTTACAGACTATAACAATATACAGTCTGTTGCATCGCTAACCTGAACATAATAAACCTCATGTAAAACGCATTCTTTATTTTTAAAATTTGCATGGCATTTCCTATGTTCAGGTCGACGATCCGACACACGGTATACCGATTTGGTCATCGAAACTGTGCGGTCTCAATTTTAACATTAAGACAGTGATGTAGACAGCTTAATGGAAAATCGAATGTATTAAAAAGAGATAAAAATTGGGTCGACACACTTCTTCTATGCGGTATTGCCGGATTTTGCATCGAAATTTCCAACCGCACAAGTAGGCGTTTACAAAAAATGTTGCATCTAGGGTTGGAACTTTATTTTTCACCATTCTCATTTTACTACAGCTGTAATGGATATTTAGTTTAGATATATTATCATTTCAGTAGTATACATAAAAGTTTTTAAAATAGCTTATATTTTTCTACGCACATTTTCCTACAAACATAAAAAAAACGGTTTGCTGCTTTTGATTTTGTCTCTCTGTCTGTTCACTGGTCATTTATATTATTCTGTCACACGCATTAAAATCCAGACCACATATTGATGATAATTGGATGACTAGCCCGGTATAAACATAATTATTATTGAGGATTGTGTTACAAACAATTTTATTTACCTCGGTCACCACCACGTGGTCCACCAAAACCGCCGCCTCCTCCGCGACCTCCTCCAAAACCACCGCCGCCACCACGGCCTCCACCTCCTCTGCCGCCGCCGCCACCTCCCATTCCACGACCGCCTCCACCTCCGCGACCGCCACTCCAATTATCTTTCTTTGTCGCCATTTGTACCTAAATTATGTGATTAATAAACATTTATTATTATTATTATACAGGGTGGTCCGAACTGTATTCCGGAAACTTCGGCAGAATATTCTGCAGATAAAAATAAGTTAAAAAGTTCGTATAAATGTATGTTCAAAAATGCTTAGTTTCGGAGATACAGGGTGTATAAGTTTCATTTTTATTTCGATTTTTTCCAAATAATTTATGAAGTAACATCAATATTTGATGAAATTATGTCTGGGAGTTTTTGATGAGAAATTTGATTTTCATGTCAACAGACTTACTTCAGAGGGCGCCACCTCCACATATTTTTTATTGGTTTGAAGATAACTTGTCCATGGTTCGTATATAAAACTATTGAGTGGTAATATACATTTACGACTTTTATTACATAAAAAAGGTCCCTTGGTAAAAATCGCTAAGAGTAATGATTCTCGAGATATTTGGAATCGAAATTATCAATACCTGTCATCATTGACATAATTAAACATGTCGACTAAATAGTTATTAAACTGAAATCATAAATTTGAAATCTTTTTGTGCCAAAAGTTCAATAGAAATTGTTTAATCGTCATTTTTTCGCAGAAAAAATTATGATTAATTTAAAAAAATAAAAATTTATTATTTCAGTCAAATAGCTATACTCACCGTGTGCTTATTTTTTGTCATTAATGACATGTATTGACTATTTCCATTCTAAATATCTTCAGAACGGTTGCTCGTAGCGATTTTTACCAAGAGACATTTTTTACGTAGAAAGTCGTGGAAATGTATATTTTTTCAGTCAGTAGTTTTATACAGGTACGAACGAAAAGTTCTTACTCTTCAAAACACTTAAAACACATGTAGGTGGCGCCCCCTACAAATAGGAGCCATTTTGACATCAAAATCAAATTTCTCGTGTCACCAAACTCCCAGACACTAATTTTCATCGAAATATTGACGTTACTTCAGAAATTATTTGGAAAAAATCGAAATAAAAATGAAACTTCTACACCCTGTATCTCCGAAACCAAGCATTTTAGGACATATATTTATACAAACTTTTTTACTTATTTTTATCTGCAGAATATGCTGCCGAAGTTTCCGGAATACAGTTCGGACCACCCTGTATACAATTAATTATACTCAGAAACAGTAACAACTTTGCAATGGATTTTAGAGGACATTCCCACTCTTTCAAGCTGTATTTTACAATCTTTTTATTTAAATGATTACTAAAATAATTAATTTAATACCCTCTAAATGTAAATCAAATTAACAAGAAAATGTATTTTTTTTCTAAGAGTTCTAAAATTATCTAAATCATTTTGAGTGTTGATTTATTTCAATAGTAGCAATTTCTTATCAGCTTTTTTATATTTTATGCATGGTATGATTTTTTTTCAAAGGAGTTCAGAAACAAAACAAATATTAATGAAAAGCCAGTTAAATAAATAAAAGAGAATTGTCTTCAGCAAGCTTATGTGGGTGGATATCACTATTACTACTATTAAAAATTTCACTAGTAGTAAAGATAGTCAACTTCCACATACATTTTAAAAATTATTTATTCATATGCAAAATTTCAATCTATACGTACTTTAATCACAGAGCCTTTGAATTCTTTACCATCAAACCATGAGATGGCACTCTGAGCGGCGTTCGAATCATCGTAAGTGACAGTAGCTTCCCCCTTTGACGCTCCTGTGGCCTTGTCCTTGTACAACCAAACTTTCTTCTTCTGTGTGCGCTTGTCCAACTAATAGAACAATTATTAATATTTTCTATAATAAATTCAACTATGAAAATCTATTATTGATAATTCATGAGGAAGTGTTACAGGCGGAATAGGTCTACTATATAAATTAATAAATAGCAGATGAATATCACCTGACTTCTTATATAGCGTAACATCAAAATTGGACTTGAACACAATTAAATTCAAGCACAGAGTGCAGTTCGCATATCTTCGTAACATTACTAAAAATAATCTAAAAAAACACTAACCTTGATTATACCAATTGATCCAAAATGATCGGCGATGTCATCTTCAGTCAGGTCAGGATTCATACCAGAAACAAATATTGTATCGATTTGTACCACCAGGTTACCGTCATCAGCTGTAAATTATTTACAGTTAGAATTTATCAATAAAACAAAATTATTTAGATGGGCTAAGTGTGATTATCAATAACATATTAAAATAGACTAACCTAAGGTCTTAAATGAGATACCCAATTGAGCGTCCGGATTGCACAACGACCTTAGCGCGTGGCCGCGGGCAGCCCAGTAGGCAAGCGAGACAGCGACGCGTTGTTGCGCGCCGATTTAACAAAATAAATAATTTTAAACCTGCCGTCATTTCGTTAATAATTATCGTATCGTGTTGATTTTTGCATAGAAATACTCATGAGTCTTTAGCGCTTCCGACAAGCCTAAATAACTGGATTATTTTCTATATTTTCGATTTATTTACATTGCTCGAGCATATTATAACTTTGAGATAAAAATCTCTGTTATAAATTTTAAAACTGACAGATATGAATACTATCATTTAATTAGTTATACATTTAGTTACAACATATTCAAAATTTAGGTCTATCGGTTTATGCTAGCGGTAATAACGCGTATAAATAAAAAAATGGTCAGTACAACGCTCGCCGTTTTTAGCGCACGTTTAGCTTTGGGTTTAGTTTTAGCACTATTTTTACAGAAAATAAATTCTGAACTTTGATCAAATGACAAGAACATTATCATTGGTTATAATGTAGTTCTTTTTTCAAAATATTGCATTGTTTTAGCTTAAAAAAAGTCGAATTATGCGGCTTTTTTGCGAGAGCTACCGGCGCTTCGTTAATAAAGAGTTGGCTATGTACATCAATCGAAAGACAGTATTTGCGATAGTCTTTTGTTTAGACTGAGTATAGAAAAGTTATGCCACAGCCTGTTTACTACAAGTAGTATTTGTGCGTTTTTTTTAAATTATTTATTATTAAATAGAGGAAAATGCGACCGAAAAGAAAGGTCAAAAATTAGTAGAAATCCGGATAAATGAAAGTGCAATATTTCCAAAAAATTTCGTGGCGAGGTAAAATCACAGTCTATTGTGGTTATGATTGACGTCATTACGATGACGAAAGCCATCTCTTTATTAACGCAGCTCCGGTAACTCTCGCAAAAAAGCCGCATAATTCAAGTTTTTTTAATCTAAAACAATGCAATATTTAGGAAAAACAACTACATTATAACCAGGAATGATATTGGCAATGATAATGTTCTTGTCATCTGATCAAAGCTAAACGTGCGCTAAAAACGGCGAGCGTTGTACTGACCATTTTTTTTTATTTATACTCGTTATTACTGCTAGCATAAACGGATAGACCTAAATTTTGAATATGTTGTAACTAAATGGATAACTAATTAAATGATAGTATTCATATCTGTCAGTCTTAAAATTTATAACAGAGATTTTTATCTCAAAGTTATAATATGCTCGGGCAATGTAAACAAATCGAAAATATAAAATATAATCGAGTTATTTAGGCTTGTCGGAAGCGCTAAAGACTCATGAGTATTTCTATGCAAAAATCAACACGATACGATAATTATTAACGAAATGACGGCAGTTTTAAAATTATTTATTTTGTTAAATCGGCGCGCAGCAAAGCGTCGATGTCTCGCTTGCCTACTGGGCCGCCCGCGGCCACGCGCTAAGGTCGTTGTGCAATCCGGACGCTCAATTATCAGATATATGTGGCGCACATACGTAACTAGTTTGATAAAAGCTCATCATAGATATACAGTAAAACCTTAATTATCAGAGCCTATGATTTATGAACATACAATATAAAACATATACTGATTTCAAAATTAATGATGTAATTTATTCATATTGTTCACATATAAAACCATTATCGTCTTTCAATATGGAAGATACTGTGATCATCTGCTAATGAACACTAAACTATGCCTCGTTTAATAATTAAAGTGCAGATATTTTTGAATACCAAATGGTTTTGACGTTTAAAACCACGTCTTTTTGTCGCCATCAAAATATCTAGAGAAATATGTTCTTAAAACTTAAGTTTTAATATAATATTTATTCTTTTATTGATAATTAAGGTTATATCGTATATCTATATAATATAGCATCAAGAATTTCAATATAGTAGATTAAAGGAATATATTTATATGAAAAGATCAGATTTCAAATATTTTGCTAAGTTAATGACAGGTGACAGGTTTATGGAGAATGACTATTAATTCTTAGTTACTTTGTAATATTTTGGATTCATATACTAGTACGTCTTTATGCAACGTTACCTTTATCAGGAAAAAAAGTAACTTCCTTATTTAAGGGAGGCCTTAAGTGCAATACAATGTTTTGAATTTACAACATATTTTTTAGTTGAACTCTCTTTAATAATTATTTATTTTATAAACCAGTTATTAGTTAGGTTCTTGAGCTTGGTATGTTTAGTAATTGATATTTTAAGAAATGCTAGAACTATCTGATCTCCATAAACATTAAGTACAATCATCATGAACCACCCTGTATACAACATTTAACAAAAAACTCATCTACTAGATTAAAACATTTAAACTTCAAATCTTTGGATTAATCCTTTAATCATACTATACGAATAAACTTTTGAAAATTTGAATTCAAGAATGAATCTCTTGCTTGGTAGTCAAACATATTTAATGTTTTAACCTAAACTGATTATTTTGGCCGCATAATTTTATGAACTGGACAATTCAAATGTTTTTCAAAACAACGGTTGCATTGTGGTTTTTAAACAAACCTAGTTCTAATTTACAATTTTGTGGTTAATGTAAAAGTTTCTTCACGCAACAATTTGGAAAATTTATTTCGCATCATGTCATATTCAAATGGTAACACTAATTTCTATCATAAAATATAATCGTTTTGGACGTCGCTAATACATATTGAAGTAATCCTTGTTAGACCTTTAGACCTATCTAAGCTAACACTTCAAATCGGAATGTACATCCATCGTTTCTTAGTTTCGTAATTTACACTACCTTCGATTACTGTTGAATCTTTAATAAACAATAAACTATTATTATATTGCACACAAAATTCAGTTCCATCATTCAAGAAGAATTCCCACAGAAATGTGTGCAATTCACAATTTATGATAAAAACTCTGTTATAACACATATCCACATATCGATTTAAGACCAAACCAAAACTTTTTAGAGTACAGTATAACTTCAGTAGTCGGGGCAGATATCGTTCCGGTATACACCTGTATTATCGAAGCGTCCGGATTACTGGAACCACTTATAACGTAATATAAAAATATTCTTCCCATAAAAACCTGATTCCTCGCAGCGTTGAAACGTGGCATAAACGTTAGTCGGCCTTTGATATTTCAACATTGAGCTAAATTTTCATTTTAATGAACTCAATTGCATTGTTCTTTGTGTTTATGTCTGCAGCAAATACTGCAGATTTTGAAATAACATAATCTGCTCCGTAATTTGAGGAGTTTTTCCACGAATGAAGATTTCTGGTATTTTAAAATTTTCGGCCAGTGTAAGTCTTATTTGCTCGTTTGATTGGTGTCATTACGTCTAACATGCCTAATAATCAAATGCAGACTCAGTTCATAAACAAAATATAAACTTTTTTCCTTGTATAGCTTGGGAAGCCTGAGATTTCAGATATGATGTTTTTGCACCCGGATTTTTGGGGCAAATGTTGCATAATGTCCAAATAATAGTAGTATTCGGATTACTGGAGTGCCCGTGCTAGCGACTGTCCGGACTTTTGAAGTTATACTATACCGGATGCGTCTCAAAAGTGGCTCACCCCTATAACTTTTTTATTTTTTCAGTTAGAAAAACAAGATTTAGTATGTTAGTATATGACACAAATTAGGATTTATTGACGTATTCGATTGTTTTCGGTCATTATGACAACAATTTTTGATTTTTAAATGGCACCCTAGGAATTTTTTTACTTTATTCGATAGAAAATGACACTCTGAATAGAATGACATATCATATGTCAACTTTTGACATTTTCGAATATGGTTTATTTGAAATTGTAACAAGTGGTTCATAACGACAATTTGAGTCGAAATACCAAGTGTGTGGTATCAAATTATTCGTAAAAAAATGCTTTTTCGAAATATGCTAACGAGCCACCCTCGTTGCATTTGAAAAAATTGAAATATAATTAAAAATACGATTTGGGTATCTTTTAACCGGCCAGGACAAGACACTAAAAACCTTAGACGATCAAATCTATTTTCTCAAGGCTCCTCGATTACAAATTAGTTTTTTTAACATACCTATGACACTCTAGATTGAAATTTAAAATAGAATTTTTTATTAAGCGAGAATGTCAAAAGTTGACATATTATGATATGGTATTCTATTCAGAATGTCATTTTTTATCAAATAAAGTAAAACAATACAGAGGGTGTCATTTAAAAATGAAAAGTTATAGTAATTTCCAGTGAAACAGGAAGTGACCAAAAACAAATGAATACGTCAGTCAATCCTAATTTAAGTCTTATACTAACATACCAAATCTCGTTTTTTTATTTGAAAAAATAAAAGTTATAGGGGTGAGTCACTTTTGAGACGCACCCGGTATATATATACTCTATATATTTATGTCAAATACATTTTGCCTCTAATGACCAAATCTTGAATAAAATATATGTATATGATCAGTATCTTATGATTAAGTGAGCTGTGGATGTTTACAGATAAAAACTCCAGAAAATTACACTGCAATTGGTTTAGCTATTAATATTGCTCAATAGACAGACCATGTATTCCTGTTTTTATATATTTCTATGTGATGCATTAAGTTCATCGTATTGTCTTATTCTCATGTATGAATGCTAAACAACCAAACTGAAAAAATTTAGATAATATATACATTGCTTATCATTTAGGTTTGTGATATTTTTATACAAGGTCTTTGTAATGGTGTCCGAATTTCACAGAAAAAAAAACATTGTAGTATAATTTTGATTTTTCCATAGCATAAGTACCTCACTATAACTTATCAGTAGGCATACAATTATTCAAGTTATAGTAGAACCTTTGTAAAATTTCGAGTTTCATATACGGGTAATGTAAAGATATAGTATTACAGTAACCGCGTTAATAGTTTTTTTTAAATTTCGTCTACATCAAATCCATTCATAATTATTTTCATACAGCCTCAATTTTAAGTCCATTGGCAGTTTGTATTAAATTTATCCACAATCGAATGATATAAAATGATACTTCATCACCTATGTCATCACACTTGAACAGATCTTATTTAGATTGCGCTTTCAAAAATATTTATGAACTAGGAGCTTTGGACTTAAAAATGCAAATGAAATTCACATGCTTTGCTTATTTGTCACCACTCAAAGTATGTTTGATCATAAAACTCTTTGATTATATTATACTATGATCTAATCTAAAGTCCGAAATACATATAAAAATTGGTTTTACGGTAGCATCAGATTCATTTCCATTTTCTGAAATGGGATACATACTGTGCTGGTCTCTATTAACGCATATTAAATTCGTGAAGATCCTAAAGCAGCATAAACTCTAGATTTCAAAATAACATTTTTACTTGTTTTTTTGTTTTGTTTGAAAACACACAAACATACTGTAAACAGTTCATCAGCATGCAATATCATAAATTTGAAGTTGTTTCAGTATTATACGTAAATGGACGCTGAGTAAAAAGTACCATTTCAAATGTTTTAAAATTAGCGTTTTCTTTATAACTCAGACCAACATTTTTTTCGATATTCATACTCGAAACGCACATCTATTGTATAATAATAAACCATTCTTGCAACCAAATAATTATTTTTTAAAAATATTTTATGTTCACCTAATACAACTTTTTTCTACCTTATATACGCTTAAAATCAAAACCAACAATACAATAAGTAAAAAATAATTAAAATGCAACCAAGTGTGTAGACTTGGTGCTTTTACCTTTGCCATAACCACCGCGGTTGCCGCCTCTAAAACAGAAGATAACCTCATGAGTAAATGCTTCAACACTGACCAAAATAGCCTCTCGAGGCCGGGGGGAATACCACCAGCTGACCCTTACTTTGGCCAACTCGGGCATGCGCAACCTTTGCGATATTTGTTAACACTGACAATCTTCTTCTTGTTTGATGATACACCTAGTTTTTGTTGAGTCTTGTAATTGTCACGTTAGTTAAGTAAGTCGATAAGTCTATGGTTCAAAAAACTCAGGGAATACACCACCAATTATATTTAAAATGTCTTCTGTAACCATGTAAACAAATAATGTTTCTTCTATATTTTGAAATATAAATATAAAAGAGATCGTAATTATACCTTTTTACACACCTAAAATAATTACCACTTTACAGTTCTTTCAGTGGCAAAACATTATTTTTATTGTTTTATAACGCATATTGTGAACAAAATAATACTGTTATCTTACACCAGAAAAAATAAACCACAACAAAAAATCAAAGATTTTTAATTTTTGATATATATAAAAGAGAAATTTCATAAAAACGCTTCCTATATTTTAAAGCAGGTATAGTCAAGTCAGAAAGAAAATCGTGATTATTTTCTGAAAAATTCAACCATATATGATAATATAAAGCTGCATAAAAATTATTTTGTTACCAATTTAGTAATTTTACATTCTGTTTTGTTCATAATCTGAATAACAAAATATACAGGGTGAGTCTTAATATTTCCAGGGCTGGCAGATCTCGATAAAATAAACATCTCTTTACCGTTTTTCCAATAAAGCTTAATTTTCATGCATCCGTTATACGTTGATACGATGGTCCGACGGTGCTCTGATTGGTCATAGCGTTTTCGCGCCACTTTTCATCCGTAAAGATTTTACTTCAGCCCGTCATCGGGCCCGTTCACACGATAACGGGCGATTTGACACTTTTTTGAGAAATTTAATCTAACCTTAATAAAAATATAAAATAGAAAAATCGAATATAAAATAACACCAGCGTATATCCGATAAACGGAGGCATGAAAATGCAATAAATTTAGAAACTGCGTTATTTTCTAACCAAATAAATTCTACCAATAAAATTAATATCGTATCAACGTATTGTCGGACAACGGATGCATGAAAATCAAGCTTAAGTCCAAAATAACCGAGTTATTTTACTTTGAAAATTCCACACCTGTAATTTTTTTAACCAATCAAAACGTCTTTATTTGACAAATCACCATGGCAACGGATAAATTTTAGTGAAAATTTTTTCCTTGTGGGCACCCAACAGCGAATTATACTGGAAATTTTTTGACGTTTATAATGACAGAATATCTTTTTGAGATGATAATTTTGATACATTTCAATTACAAAGCTGAGATGAAAGTTTGTAAACTGCTTCCATACGCTTGACTTCGATTTCCTATTCGTATTCGCGGGTGTCAACTGCTTAATCTCCTGGCGAATATTTTCTTTGCTTTCATGACCGAAGCGAAACATTTTTTTTAAGCCGTGCCGCTTGACAGCTTCAAAACTGAAATAGTTTTTTAGGTTTGGGTGTCACTTAGTTATCATAGTAACTAAATAATCAATTCGACCAAAAATCGAAAAATACATTTTAATTACTTGATTTACAAACACAATTTGGTGTGGAATTTTCTTACCGAATACCTCACGAGGTCAAATTAAATCCGGACATTTTTTCTCGCTCCATGAATATTTTTAGAAAATTATCCCTTATCTTCGACTCGGGATAATTTTCAAAATATTCATGAGCTCGAAAAAAATTTCATGAGCTCGGAAATAATTTGACCTCTAGTGGTATTACTAGTGAAAATTTCGGAAAAAAAACTTTTTGCTTAAATTTTGAGAACCACCGGATCTTTTCTGGGTTTTCTTTCTTGTAAATTCAATCTATGACCTATGTTGCCATATTATCAGGAAATTATGTTTTTTAAGTAAAGATTCTCTCTAAAAATTTCCAAATTTTTTTTAAAAAAATTCCAGATTTTCAATTTTTAAGACTCACCCTGATAATATTTACATTGCAAAATGAATACAATTATTTTCTCACAACTGGTTCAAATAGAAACTTGAATGTGGTTAATGTTAATTCCAAGTGTACTTTTTTTAATGTTTTTTTTATTATTTTTTCGCATTTAATGAACCACTTAAGCATAGTTGACACAATCAAAGTATACTTGGTTCAAATACACTTGGATGCTGCGCGCGCGCGCGGGGTTGGGCGTCACTTGGTTTGTATCAACCGATTTAAGTCAGTTTATATCAGCCAAAGCTTCCAAGTGTATTTCAGCAAAGTTTACCTTGACCGTGTCAACGAGACTTTACGTGAAAAACCCTTTTTATTGAAACATGAAAAACTGTTTTGCAAGGTTTATATTCCTACATGTAAAAATCAGCATTTTTGAAAACCTAGCAATTAAGTCTATATAAAGATAAGCTTATATACTTCTACGTATATGTACAAAAGACAATTAGATACATACTTTCAAATCTAACCCATTTTTAACAATTCCCTGCTTAAGAGATAACTTCTAAATCTCATATATTTTTAGCATGTTTTCTTCTACAGAATATATTTTAAAATATAATCCTCTCTCTCTTAACCATGTGAACACGTTTCTTCTATATTTTGAAATATAAGATTGTCGGTGTACCTTTTCACACACTCAAAAGAAATAAATCCTCTATTTAGTGATAAGAATTATTTTTGTTTCTTAACACACATTGGGAACAAGAAGCCGCATTTTATAGTAAAAAAAAACTTACAGTAGAACCAATCTAAAGCCAATGAAAAGTTATAATACCAAAAAATACGCAAAGAATAATTGGAGTCAGTTGTTCTACGAACAATTTTGTATAAGTGAGAAACGCCCCCTATATTTTTAAGCACGTATACAGTCAGTCAGAAAAAAAGACGTGATTATTTTTCTGAAAAATTCAACCACAAAATTTAATATAAGGCAAGGTACATAAATAGAAAATGATTTAATTTTATCAAATCAGTAACTTCGCATTACTTTTTTATCCATATTTTTGAATAATAAAATATATATAATTTTTTTTATTAACACAATAAACTTTAAATTATGCATAAATACACTTAAGACGTGAAGAAACTGATTTGCTTGGTTATATACCTACAGTTAAAAAAACATATGTCAAAAAAAATTGTTTAAAACCCTTCTTTTAAGCTTATATGAAAAGCAAATTACTGTTTATTGAAAAGTTACATTTTGAAATTATATGAACTAAACTGATGTTGAATACAGTTAAATGTTGAACAGTAAAATTCTTTTAATATGACCTAGTAAGAAAAAAAACTGTTGTAGGTACCCACTACATTAGAACCTTACACAAATTTTATGGAAACACTAATTCTGTTTCTCTTAGGGCATCTGACAATTAAAAATCAGTTTACATCCATATCAATGTTATAAGAATTAATAATGAGATGTTGAACTTACCCATAGCTATCTCTACGATCTAAATCTCTGCCACCACGGTCATTGCCACGATCTTTCATACCTCCTAATAAAACAGAATAGTAAGAAATAGGTTTATACAGTTTTGGCAATTTATTATTTCAATGAACATTTTGGCTCAAAACATAAAGTTAAAGATTTTTTCTGTTAAATGAATTTACCTCCATATCCACCACCACCTCCACCATATCCTCCTGTTGCACCACCTCCATAACCACCTTGATTTCCTTGGTATCCTCCACCTTGGCCTCCATATCCACCTCCACCTCCTTGGCCGCCATATCCTCCTCCTCCTCCTCCGCTACTTTGATAGCCACCTAAACAATTTTTTTTTGATATACAATCTTTACAAGAGGAAAAACTTTTGACATTTTCAAAAAAATGCATTCTTTAAAAAAATTTGCTTGTTCTAAAATGTGAAAATATAATTGAAAAGTCCTAAAAATCAATACGCGTTTGTATTTGTATGGTAATATAATTTCATTTTCATTCTCTGATAGTTTGTTATCATCTGAATGAAGCTTTATGTCCATAATAAAAGTTTTTCCTCTTGTAAAGACAATCTGGGACATACATATATAAAAAAAAAATCTAAAATAAGAAAATGTTCTATAGATTTTCTACCCTTACATTTATAAACTAAAGGCAAGGACTATCATTCTTAGAATTAATTTTTGACATAGTAGGTAGAAAAAAAGTTACTTAAAAAACTTTCTTCTATGCCTATGTCAAATTTGAAAAATACTTAAGACAATGTGAAATATGAAAACAAATTAATGTAAACTTAATACTGGAAGTATTTATCAATAATTACCTTGGCCTCCGCCATATCCACCAGAGTTACCTCTGCCACCCCCTTGTTGTGAGACCCAATTTCCAGAGGATGAGTTATCTTGTTGGCCATAACTGCCTTGTGAACCCCCATAACTGGGATAAGCAGTAGCAGCTGGGGGAGGTTGTGAATAATCATAAGATCCTCCACCACCGTAATCTAAAAAGATGCATCTTCCTTTAAATACCATTAAATACACCGGTAGCCATTTTGTAATGAAAACTCTTTCAGTTAGATTGTAAATATAGGATTTTTAATATGCGTTAATAAACATGGTAAATATCAAAGTACATAAATATATAAAATGCAAAAAATTATGAATAAAACAATGATAATATACATCTATTCCATTAAATATCCTGCTCTCAAACGCAAAAATATTCAGAGCCGGTTAAAGATTAAAACTTATCAATACGATTTTGGTTTATTAAAATGTAAAACGTTGAAGGATTAAACAGAAATAATTTACTTACTGTCTCCCATTTTACCGGCGATTGCAAACGATGAACGACGGGAACGAAAAATTTAAAACGTTTTCAAAAACGGACCAATAGAAAGTTCATCTATCGCCCAAAAGCGTCGTTGGAGGTGTGGCCACGGCACAAGGCCACGGTGTGGCGAACTGGTAATTCGTAGTAATCGTAGCCAAAGACCGAAATTCGTAGAAAAAATGTTACCACAGAGGCAGAAATAAAAATGTTGCTACCTGATCACTATCGAAGAATTATATATGATTTGATGTTGCTACAAAGGTTTTGCTAATCTATTGAAGAGTTCCATATCATATATAAAAATATGCGTATAAGATAAATTTCAAAAAAAACATTTTTAATTATTAAAATATTTAGTAAAAAATAGAGAATACTTTTCATTATTAAAGGACACAACATGAACATTAATAATTAATTTACCATAACAGTCTACCGTCTAGTGGCCTAGTGGTTAGTGGTTAGGTCGGGCTAGGTCAAGGGCAATGTCAAGGGGTTAGGTTTATATATGTAGGGAGGTATGGAGTCTACCCTCCATAGATATAGGTCAATGTAGCTCTTTGAATTTTGAATGTAGGTGCTAGCCTTAGCAGCTACAGTAGCAACCATGTAGCAACCAGGTATCAACCAATGGACTTTTGCCATTAGCAATGAAAACGAAGACAAAACAACAATAACCTATAAAAGGCACGTTCCTTTTCCTTTCAAATTTGAAATGTTTTGAATTTTTTCTTTCTACAAAACTCAATTTGTAAAAATGGGGAAGAAAACTAAAATTGGAAAACAGAGAAAGGATAAGTTTTATCATTTGGCTAAAGAAACTGGTAATTTTTTGTTATACCTACTTTCATAATGATATATATATATATATTTAAACATAAATTGTACACTTTGCAGGATTTCGATCGAGAGCGGCTTTTAAATTAATCCAACTTAATAGAAAATTCGAATTTTTACAAAAGTCAAGAGTATGTCTAGATCTTTGTGCAGCTCCTGGAGGATGGATGCAAGTTGCCAAACAAAATATGCCAGTGTCGAGTATCATTTTGGGGGTAGATTTATTTCCTATAAAACCTATACCGGGCACTATATCACTAACAGAAGATATTACCACTGATAAATGTAAAGTTGCAATTACAAAAGAACTCAAAACTTGGAAAGCCGATGTAGTTCTTCATGATGGTGCCCCCAATGTGGGTAAAAATTGGTTGCATGATGCATACTCTCAAGCTTGTTTAACTTTAAGTTCCTTAAAACTGGCCACACAGTTTTTACGCAAAGGTGGCTGGTTTGTAACTAAAGTATTCAGGTCAAAAGATTACAACTCTCTTATTTGGGTTCTTAAACAGCTGTTTAAAAAGGTACATGCAACAAAACCTCAAGCTTCTCGTAATGAGTCTGCAGAAATATTTGTTGTGTGTCAATATTATATTGCACCTGACAAAATTGATTCTAAGTTTATGGATCCTAAATTTGTATTTGAAGAATTAGAAATTGAGCCAAAAAATAAATTAAATATATTTCATCCAGAAAAGAAAAAAGACAAAGCAGAAGGATATCCAGAAAATGATTACACACTTCACCATAAAGTAAATGCATCTGATTTTATTAAACATGAAAATGGAATAGATATTCTTCAACATGCATCTGAAATAGTCTTAGATAATTCCGAAATTTTAAATCATGTTAAAACAACTAAAGAAATACAAGAATGTTTTAAAGATATTAAAGTCTTAGGGCGAAAAGACCTTAGAAATGTTATGAATTGGTGGAAGACACTACATGAGGAATGGGAAAAAGAGAATAAAGAATTGGTTGAAGAAAAGACCATTTTGGAGAAAAATGATTTAGAAAATAAAGGTACCTAACTTCATTAATTTCTCTTTATTTATTAATACTCATTATGTTTCTTTTTATGGTTAGAAGATGCAGATGATGATGATTTAAAAAATATTGATCAACAAGTTATTGATCTTGAAAATGAAGAGTTGAAGGATGCAAAAAGAAAGAGGAAAAAGGTTCAGAAGGAAAGAAAAAAATTAAATGAAAAACTTAACTTAAAAATGGTTCTAAAAGGTATTCGTTTGATTTAAATTTTACCGGATTATTAGTTTAAAATATAATATAATTTTACAGGTGACGATGGCCCTATGGTAGAAGGTGATGATATGTTTTCTTTAAAAAAAATTAAGGATAATGATAAAATAACAAAACTAATGGATCAAATACCAGATGTAGTAGCCTCATCTGATGATGAAAATGACACTTCCAAGCAGAAGTATTTAAGGTAATTTTTTATATTTTGTTATTGAATTTTACCAATTTCAGTAATTTAATTATGTTAACATTTTAAAACTTAAATGCAATACTCATCCACTTTCATGATAATCTACAAATTCATAATGTTTTTAAATTTTATTCTTTTTATTTTTTTGCAATAATATTTTATTATTATTATTTGTGTATTTTAACTGGTAATATTATAGGTATAATAAGGATGAACAACATCTAGATAGTTCAGGCCTGTATTATAAAGATTCAGATTCAGAAATAGAAATGGAAAGTGACGATGATGAAGATGGTGATACAAAAGAAGGCCTAGGTAGTAGAACGCTTGCTTATGAACTATTTTTGTTAATAATTGTCATTTTTTAAGGTTTTGATAGTGATGAATCAGGAGACGAAAAGACAGCAAAAAAGGATAGAAATCTTAAAACAAAGAAAAAAGCAAAGAAAGATCATCCATTAATAACTGACTTAGACTATAGAGACAAGGAAGAAAAAAGAACTCACAAAGCAGAATTATGGTTTGAAAGAGACGTTTTTAAAGATTTAATTGATGACAAAGTTGAAGATGCAGATTTGGATAAGACAGTAGAAGAATATAAAAAGAAGGGGGCAACAGTAATAGGTACAGTAATATATAATCAAACAAACAAAGGATATTAATGAAAATAAAACAGTATTATTTTATCAGTAATAATTTGAATAAAGGAAATGAAAACTAGATAAAAAGTAAAAAAAATAAATATAGAAAGTGGCAAAGAATTGGTGAATATATATATTTTTTTAAATCTTACTCTTAAAGTATATTTTTCTCATTTTTTTAAATACAGTAGATACTCTTATAATATTTAGAAATCTGTCAAAGAATTTAAGAGTGTCATTGAAGTAGTAATATTTATAATTTTAAACCACGACTCATATTGTAATATTTGAAATGCTAAATACATTAACATTCTAAAATGACATGATTTATTATAGGTGAGGAACCTACTGAGAAAACTGATCAAAAAAGAAAAATAAATAAGAAAGAAAATAACAGTAGTGATAGTGATTACAGTTCAGAGGATTCCAATAGTGATAGTGATTCAGATTATGATGTTGATAAAGAAATTAATGTAGTCGTCAATAACACAAAAAAAGATGGTTTTGAAGTTGTAAAAAAAGGAACAGGTATATTGTTCCATATATGAATAATTATGAATAAACTTACTAGATTTATTATAGCTGTCAATACGAATAAAAAGAGCAAAAAGCATAAACTAACTGAAGAAGAATTGGCACTGGGTACTCTGATGATCAATAGCAAAAAATCGAAAAGGGATCTTATTGATGCAGCCTGGAACAGATATACTTTTAACGATGATAATTTGCCAGATTGGTTTGTTCAAGACGAACAAAAACACATGAAGAAAGAAGCACCTGTACCAAAAGTAAATAGATCTTTGTGTAGATAATTGCTAAAGTTATAACTTATATTGATTTAGGAACTAGTAGGAGAGTACAAGAAAAAATTAGAAGAAATTAATGTCAGACCTATTAAAAAAGTAATTGAAGCTAAGGCAAGAAAGAAGAAGAGAGCCCTTAGGAAACTAGAAAAAGCTAAAAAGAAAGCAGAGTCCATATTAGAAAATGCCGATGTTTCTGAGAGAGAAAAGGCCCAGCAAATCAAACAGTAATAATTTAATATTTATATGATGTTGTTATTCTCTATATCATTTTTTAGATTGTATAAGAAAGCCCATCAAGAACCAAAAAAAGAGGTGACTTATGTGGTGGCTAAAAAACATATGGCTGCAAAAAGGGTGAAGCGGCCAGCAGGCGTCAAGGGACATTACAAAGTTGTTGATCCGCGAATGAAGAAGGATATTCGAGCGCAAAAAAATAAGTTGAAAACTATGGGTAGAGGTAAAAAGGGTGGAAAAGGGAAACCAAAACAGCATAATAAGAAGAAAAAGGCATAATTAATATAAATTAAAATATTTCAACTATTTTATATTTGTATATAAACTGAATAAAACTGTTGTTAAATCACTATACTTCATTAAAAAAATCAACCATTAGTATAATCATATCAACAAAGTCAGCGCAACGGGGATGAGACATGAGACTATTACGCCTGACATCGGAATATCAGTGGCGTTTGAATTTCATTTGAATTTATGTTATAAAGTGAAGTAGGATAATAAAGTATGAGTAAATATATTTCAATAGTTTCAGAGATATTAATAAATAAATAAAAACATATACTTTTCAGCATTTCTTAAAAAAAATTATTAAAAATAGAAGAAACTGTCCTGAAATCAAAAGTATATATTAGGTATTTACTTTAGATGGTCTGTACTTACTTTGCTATAAATATGGTAATCGTAAATCATCTTTCTAAAATTTAAAATCATTTTTCTTCTTTTTTTATGGAACACCCTTATATTATTTTTTCAATAGATGGTAAATTAAAAAATGAACATTTTTGTATTTCAAAATTTTTAATGGTTTCGCAGATATTCGCAATTTTATATTTCATGTGGCATTTTCCACAGTAAATTTTTATCAAGCTACCCAATGATTTTTCTCTCGGATTTTACCGTTGAGATGAGTTAAAAAATTGAAATACTTTATATACAAAAAATATTTATTTTTTAATTCTCTATCTGATAAAAAGATAATGTACAGGGTGTTCCATTTAAAAAAGAAAAATTATTTAATATTTTAGAAAATTTAGCGTACATTTTTGACCACCCTGTATAATTTAAGATTACGATATTTGCAGCAAAGTAAGTACTTCTGAAATAAATACGTAATATAGTTTTTAATTCAGAACAGTTCTTGTATTTTTAATAATTTTTTTAAGGAAGGTTGAAAAATATCTATTTTTTATTTATTTATTAATATCTCTGAAACTATCGAACCGTATTTAATACTATCTTAGGATTATGTAAAGTGATCTGAAAGGAAGCCAAATGCAATAACATACAGAGCGTTCAATTTAAAAAAAAATCATCCCAATTCACTCACACTTTTTTGAGCCACACTATAGAAGTTAAAACATTTTCCTGATATACATCCTCGTACATACACTTACAAAATTTTCAACTTATTTATTCTAGGAGCTACAGATGCCCGACGCACTATTGCCGGACCCTGTATATTATATTCCTAGAACTTCTTAATAACTCAAATTTATAATGGAATATAAATTCATATTATCTATACTAATATAAAATACTTAAGTGACTGACATACTGATTAATCACGATCCTGCTCAAACCACTCAACGTAAGAAGCTCAATTTTGGCATACAGGTTGATTCTAGGGTGTAGAGGTTCGACAAGAAGGGATTTTTCGAAATTCCAGTTCCAAGAGGGTGAAACCACCCCTCAAATATTACAATATTTTTTATTTAAAAAACGGTTAAGTTTCAGGAAAAACGCTTAAACACGTATATTTTATTTTGTTTTTTTACATATGTTAAGATTTTTTAAAAATGTATACAGGGTGTTTCAAAAATCTGGTCATTGATTAATCACGATCCTGCTTAAAGTGCTTGACGTAAAAAGCTGATTTTTGGAAAACATATTGACTTTAGGGTGTAGAGGTTCGATAAGAAGGGATTTTTCGAAACTCGAATTCTAAGGGGGTGAAACTATCCCTCAAATATTAAAATATTTTTTATTTAAAAACCGGTGAGTTTTTCGGGAAAACTCTTAAACACGTATATTTTGTTTTGTTGTTTTACATATTTTAAGATTTTTTATAAATTTATACAGGGTGTTAATATGACCATCACGATTCTGCTTAAACTGCTTGACGTTTAAAGCTGATTTTTGGCAAATGGATTGACTGTGGAGTGTAGAGGTTCGATCAGGCGAGGGTTTTCTCGAATCTCAAATTCCAAGAGGGTGAAAACGCCCCTCAAATATTACAATATTTGTTATTTAAAAAACGGTTAGTCTTTCGGGAAAACACTTGGACAAGCATAATTTATTTGTTTTTTTACATATTTTGAAATTTTTTGAAACGCACACAGGGTGTTCCAAAAAGTAGGGTAATTTCTTAACCACGATTCTGCTTAAACTGCTTGACGTAAAAAGCTTATTTTTGGCAAACGGATTTTTCGAAAGTCAAATTCCAACGAGATGGAACTACCCCTCAAATATTACCAAGTTATATAATAATATCGCCATATTGTTTTTTCTCATGCTAACATAAATGTGAGAAAATTTTATCCAGTTTGTATGTTAATGGAAATTCTTGCTTTGCTTTATTATCACCATTACAAATGATTAATTCGACGCGAACGAAGTCGCTGGTACACGCTAGCAAACGCTAGTTAAGGTATAAAATAAAGTATAGAGGAAATATATACGGTGTAAAGTAACATTGAAAACAAGTATATTTAATATAACAGAGTAGTAATTTCATAAATAAAAGTTATATTTTACTCAGAGTAAGTGTAATATAATCTAAGGTAATTGTATACATTTAAATCTTTGTGTATGAAATTAATATAAATATCCATTATTCATTTTCCTCTTTTCTCTTTGGAAGAACTCCACGTCCGTATATTGCTTTGAATTCCTCTGGTGTCAGGTCAGCGAATTTGTTAATTCCCATTGTGTATGTTGTTTCGCCTCTTTCGTATTTTTCATTGTGTTCTTTAATTTTTTTGAAATTATCTTGAAATATCTGAAAGCGGCGCTGTTCCTCTTCTTCAGTTTGGTAATTTTTTCCATGAGTAGACTGAAAATACAAGCCATTCGTTTGAAAACTTTCAATAAAAAATCTTTTTGAAGATATATTTAGCTTTCTAGCTAGAAATTAACAGTTTTATAATAATTGTTATTTACCCCTAAAAATATTTGTACTTCTTTATGACTCACCCTGTATTTATAATAAATGTAGAAAATTTATATGGTATTATATCTATGTAACATATTTTTAGTAGTATCTTGAAGTAGTACTTAATATAAAAGTGTAGCTATCACTAGATTATTACCGTTAAATAAACAGTAGGTGTAATTTTTTTCTGTATCTTTTGTTATCGATGTCTGCTTGAATTTTCAATTAAGAAAACTGAAGGTTAAAGTTAAAAAATCTGTACAAAATGTACTTTGACAAAAATACATTTTAAATAATACAGAAATATTTAGTAGTATACTCAGAGACAAGAGACGTGTTTATCTACGGTATATATAAAATATTTATAAATGAAGAGAAGCTATTAGTGTTACTTAAACATTTAATTACCTTGAATAAGGTCCATTCTTCCTTGTCTGTCATTTGTGAAGCTGATAATACTACAACCAAAACAGAAAGTATTAAAAACTTCAACATTACAGTAATGGTAAAGAATTACGTTATTGGACAGTATCTGACAGTATGTAATTACGGCTTTTCAAACGCTGGGATTGTACTGATTAAATTTAATCTCTCGTAAGTAGGCAGTAAGCGGTAAAAAATATTATGCTTATCTCATATTTACTCTATATAAGCACCTATAGGTATATTATTAGGATTTCACTTCGTTTTCTTGACTAAAAGGTGAACACATAATAAATACAAGCAGATCTTTATTTTTTTAATAATCTAAATACAAAAAATCTTTTATGGATTTAAATGGTCATTCATTTTTATAATATACAGAGGTAAAATTTACTATACCAACGCAGCAATTAAATACCCACATAAATAACATCATAACAAACAATATAAGTTTCGTATAAAAATCAAAATATAATAAAAGTTCAGTAATCGATAAAAATTTGGCAACACTGCTTTACTAAATAGTGCGCAGTGCCGGCAGTGCGTATCTAACCAAACATTTAATCTCTTTTTAATTTAAGATTTTCTTATTATTTGTTCTTATAATACATATTTAAAAAGTATAAGTGATATAGTTATAATAAGTACTTTGGCATAAAATTTGCAAACGTTTCAAAAATGTTTGTTTTTTTTAGTAATTATTGGTATTTATTTTGCAAAAAAGAGCACTAAAAATAAAATTGAAATTAAATCTTCAATCCAACAATCGGGTATTTACAAATTTTTGTAAAAAATACGACATTACGCTTTTCTAATAATTACAGAGATATGGAGAATATTTACTTTATCTTAAATATAGAAAGTGCACTTACCGTTTACGAAAAAAATGAGAGATAAAATCGAGACAATGTTAAACATGTACATTAAATGCTATTTAATACCACATTATACATAAACAACCCAAGGAAATCTCACTGTTTCATTTCCGTGACTCATTACAAAAATTACAAATGATTACAAATACAAATATCGACGTGACTACACCAACTTACACAAAACAGAATCATTTTCAACGTTGCCAGACTTTCAAATTTCATTTGTTTACTTGACTCAACGTACCAACGCTACGTACTTTAATGGAATGGTTGAAACCAGAGGCTGAAATGATTAAGTTGAAACGAATTTCGACACTTTAATTTCAATGGCATTTACCCCATTAAAACTTTTTTTTTGTTTTTAAAAATTGTGAGATTATAAAAATGCGCTTCTTTTAATTAAACCATCCGTAACTAGCTGGATTTTTTTTCATTTATGCTACGAATTTTTCTACTTTTGTAAAATTAAAAAAAAAACACGTACTTTCTCTTAAATTAAAAAATATAAATAATTAAGGTATCATTCACCATATTGTCAAATTATGAATACATTGAAAAGTATCGATGTAAATATTTAGTAATTTTATGATAAAGGGTAAGGGTAATAGTAAATAGAGCTGTTGAAAATTTAGAATAACATGTATTTATTAATAAAATATTGATATATACGTAAATGTATAACATTCTTGACAAAATGGCGAACTAGTTTTTATTACATACTTCGAGGTAGCTTGGTGGCTATCGGCACAGAATATACCGTATGATCGAGAAAAAACGGCGTCAGCGATGGCTATGAAATGAAGATCGCTGTCATTTTATATGTAAATTTATATGGAAAATGTCATCGATTGTCATTTCCCAGCCAACTGGACGCCGTTTTTTTTCGATCATACGGTACTTCAATATACAACGGCGTAGCTAGCTATACAGGGTTGTTCACCACATACGACACGGAGTATTGTAGCTAAACGATTAGATTTTTACAAATTGTAAGTTTTGGGTTCGTTGAAGGACTATTGGAGCTACAATTTAAAAATATTTTACAGGATACAGAGTGTCCCAAATAAGTAAAAAATACCATAGTTGTATTTTTTTAAACGGAACACCCTGTATATTATTCTATTTTTGGATTCTACGATTGAAATAAAGGTAAATTTGATTAAGGTTTATCACACTTAAACCTTACCGTTTTTGAAATATTTTCAATTTTAAGAAATTGCAGTAAAAATTTTAATGTTTCATTTCTCCAAGGGTATCAAAGTTTTTAATACTAAATATTTACTGAAGATTATTTATTGATCAGATATTGTGTTGCAATAATAAAAATTTTACTACCTTATACAGAGTGTCCAAAAATTTATATTAAGTAATTACTAGCTTTAAACTGCAATAACGTGTTTAAGTTAAATGGAACACCCTGTATATTTTACGTGAATCATATGCACAATTTAATTGTCTATCAAATTTTATTATACCATTTTTTACCTATCTCTGCAACTTTTCGTAGAAAATGCATTTTCTTATAATTTAGACCTCATTTATCACTATACCCATGGAATATTTACATTTCAGATTTTTTTAAGCAACATATATGCAGAAAATGTACAAGTGGTAAATATTGCAAGCCTATTGATATACCAAAAAAACTGTTTAAATCTTTATAAAAGACTATACGAATTAAATATACCACCATTATTTCCGACCAAAAATTAGTTAATTACATACTTTTAAATTGTTTTAATTAATAAAATATTCTAAATAAATGTGGATTTGGCTCAGAAATCAAAATAATAATAAATTATGAAAATAAACGTCTCTGTTTTTATAAATCAGCATTCGTCAAAAAATTAAATAAAATTTATAAGGCCGTTACTTTTTACCACACTGTCTAATACACACACAAAATTCAGTTTTTTAGTATTTGGAGCAATTATTATTAATCAACATAAACAGTCAATTAATGTAGTCTGAATACTGGGATCATATTAATTGGTCCTTTTTAACAAAAATATTTAAACAGTTTTTTTATTTTTTTTATGAAATAAGCGAGCTATATCGACAATATTAGTATCTGTACTCTTGGAAAATTTGTTACATCTTTAAAAATAATCTAAAATGTCAATATTCCATGGGTATAGTGATAAATGAGGTCTAAATTATAATAAAATGCATTTTCTACGAAAACTTGAAGAGATAGGCAAAAAATGGTATAATACAATTTGATAGACAATTACATTATGCATCTGATTCACGCAAAATATATAGGGTGTTCCAATTAAATTAAACACGCTATTGCCGTTTAAAGCTAGTAATTATTTAATACCGTAAAATGGGGGGAATAGAAACATAGTGGTGAATAGAAACAACATTTCTGAAAAAAATCAAATCACGATTAAAAATATTCAAAGTAAAAAGAGTCGACATATCTAATTTTTCTATCATTGGTAATACCCTTGATTATAAACAAGGGTAATACTATGGAGTGTAGAGGTAAGGAGAAATAACTCTTATGGGACTTTTATTGAAAAAGTGGTCACAAAATGGGAAGAATAAGGGTTCGCCAAATGACCACAGTGGCGCTAAAAACGCATAAATCTAAAAAATGAAAAGTAACCATAGATCAGACAATAAAAATAAATATAACCAAACATTACCCAAAAAAAGTTTTGTTTTTATTTTTTAGAATATAAAATAATTATTGTTTATCAATATTTTGTGCTTTATTTATTATTTAACAATGGTTAAAGTGTGTGTGGTGCGAAGTTGATTGAATAGCTGTTGGAAAAATAAAGAACAAAGGCAAAGCCTGTAAAATACATAATTATAATTCAGTATTGTATTATTTGTATTATATGTAAAAATTAGAGTCAATCAAAAGTGTAGTAAACATTTTTCGTAAGATTATTGACATACATGTTACAAAGTATATTTTTACAATCCTTTCTATAAAGTTACAACCTGAATAAAATTTATTTTTAATGATTTTAAAGTTTGACAGACATGCACAAATTGTTGGCATTTTTTTAAACAAATAAAAGTAGGAAATAAATAAAGTTGTAGGTACTTTCAAGAAATATAGTTAACTGTAAGTGCTGTATTTTAATAATCTATCAAAAATTAAAATCATCAGGATAATATTAGGTATTGATTTTCAAACAAGAATTAGATTACAGCGATGGTCAAAAGCATTTAGATATTGCTTTGAAATCTACAGATAAGGTATGGCAGTTTCGTTTTAAAGAACAAGATGTTAAAGTTTATGATAAAATTGTCATCAGAAATACTGTCCACTTGCAGTATTTACATAGGAAAATGTTGGAGGATGAAGCTCTACCTACTGCCTCAGGTTAATTTAAATTCTGAGTTGCAACAACAGCAACAAGCAAGAAGGGCACCATTAAATGAATATTATACACATAAGTATTATTATTCAAAGAAAGAGTAATGTTATACACATAAATATTAACATTTTGTAGAGCAACAACAGAATAAAAAACCAAAATATGAACACCAGCAACTAAAACAGGAACCATTAAATGAATATTACACACGTAAGTACAATTTGATCGATCGAATAAAAAACGGCGTCAGCGATGCCTATGAAATGAAGATTGCTGTCATTTTATATGTAAAATGATATGGAGAATGTCATCGAGATGTTCATTTCCAAGCCCACTGGACGCCGTGTTTTTTCGATCATACAGTATTATTATACACATAAATAATAATATTATACACATAAACATCCCTTGATAAAGATCAACATTTTGTAGAGCAATAACAGCATCAAATAATGGAAATAATGGACCCTACTGCTCAAATCAAAAACAAAATTTCAGCATTACCACTTTATTGGTTATATCAATAAAAGAAATTATTGAGTTTATGAGTCTAGATCCTACAAGCAAGCAGATCTATCACATAATTTTAAATGAAGATTTATCTATTATAGTATGTATAAACACTTTGCATCTTTTATTCAATGTTGTAATGAATTAACAAATTGCAGGTAATTTATTCTAATAACAAAAAAAAACTTTGGATCAAAAAATATTTTCTTCTGATGAGGTTTATGAATATTAAAGTCTGTTGAAGTTTGGCCATTATGTGTTGGTATACAATTTATTTATGATGTTACAGTAGTTAACCGATCATCCGAGTACGAAACATGTTTAAAATCCACTATTCTTAATGAATGGCAACTACCAACTTGAGAGGAAGCTAAGAGAAAGGTTCAATTGGGTGGACTACAAGGAAAAGGGACATATACATGAGGATCTGGAAGGGCTATAACATTACGTCTCAAGCCATGGGACAATAGGAAACGAAATTCAAAGGAAAATATTACAATACGTTGGATGCAAATTATAGTGCAAAGAATTGAGAAAAAGAATTATTAAAAGTAGTTATTGTTACGATAGTTAAACCATCCGACTACCAAATATATTTAAAATCCACTATTCTGAATGAATAGCAACTACCAACTTGAGAGGAAGCTGCGAGAACGATTCTATTGGGTGAACTACAAGGAAGACATGAGCATCTGGAAGGGCTATAAAATTATATTATTTCACGTTTCAAGCCATGTTGGAATAGCTGGGAGTGAAAAAGAAGATAATACTGCACACCATTCTTGTCTAGAAGTAGTTGATATTAAGGTAGTTAAACCATCCTACTATCGAACATTTAAAATCCACTATTCTGAATGAATGGCAACTACGATGGGGCAAAACGTAAATAAATACTTGTACAGTATAAAATTATATTATATTGGCTTAATTTTTATACTAAATAAAGTGTGTTACGTTATTTTAGACCTGCATTATATTTATTTAAATCCCATATCATCAATTAAACTTTTAATAAAGTTTTCCTAATTATAATTACATTAATTTTAAACTAAAGCTTTTTTTTCATCTTGAATGAGATTTACGAAATAACTTATGAGAAAAAATAAAAAGAGGCTCAGTCTATTGCTTCTGAATAATTGATAATAAAACCACATGTTGACTTACTTTTTATACTAAATAAATGTAGGTATGAAGTTATTTTAAAGCTGCATTATATTTATTTTAAAACCCATCACCAATTATTACTTTAAATAATTTTTTTCTTAATTATAATAACATTAATTTTTAAGCTAAAACGATCAGAATAATGTTTTCGTCGTCTTGAATGACATTTG